TTTAAATCTAAAACGTGTGTCAGTTCTGCATTTGAAGCAAGACTTGAAGTGTCCATCCCTAGATACATCATCCATGGAAGTTTAATCATTAGAGGCTACATAATAAAGCTACTTCACAAACTTGACCCTGTTAACTCATCTGGAAAATATAGGTCAAATTCGAACAACGTCTGGAAGTGTCCATCTCTAGATACATCCTTCATACTAATTTGTTTTTTAAGAAAAGCTCAAATTCACTCATGTGGAAAATCTAGGTGAAATCCAGCACCTGAAGCAGAAAGGGAAGTTGTACACTTCTAGATACATCATCCCTAGTTATTCATATGGAAAATGTAGGTCAGATCTAGCATCCAAAGCAAGTCTGGTAATGTTCATCCCTAGATGCATCATCCCATGCAAGTTTGATCTAGGTAGGGCTTATTGGGATTGGACTTGCTCTTAAAACTTGAACTGGGATGACAGTGCTGGGGGTATAGCATAAGCTCATCTTGCCTTCATAGAGTTGAGCTAAAAAGGGATAGCAAAAGGTAAAAGGTCACCTGAATGACCCAGCTAATCTAAACAGGGAAAACAAACAGTTCAGATTCAAATATATGTATTTTACTAGGAAAACAAACTCAGAATAAACAAAAAAATGACATCATATGTGAGAGGAGAATAAGTAAAGTTTTAAGCACTGCATATCTTTAACTATTCAAAGCACTAGTCACAGATGCTGTCTAGAGAAAAAAAAGTTATTCTTCTTAATGATATATTAAACCATTTCATAATACCCAGACAGCAAAACTTTATCCTGAAAATTTTTTTAAACGAGGTTAAGAGAACAATAAAATTATTTCTTTGATATATTTTAATGCAACATTTTAACAAGAGGCCCATGGGCCTTATAGGTCACCTGAGCATTATTCAACAACTTTCCAGTGATTGAATTTGATCCATGTTTTAAGCCAGATGCTATAGCATTTACAATTTGGTCATCATACATGTAACTATACACTTAGCTGCAATAATGTAGCCCTCTCCCTGTTTTTTTTTTCTTTTTATATTTTTTTGGGAGAGGGCTACAACTCCTTAGGATCTTCCTAATGGTGCAGCTGCGGGTGTGATTCGCTCCCGCACGGATTTCGGCTCAAATTATCAGTAAATGGCTATTTAATTAACATTTCTTACCTTGACTCCAAATAAGTAGTCATTCAAGACGTAAATCAATGCAAAAATATACAGAACGATCCCTATATCGCTTATTTTTCGTGTATGTCAACATCACAACTCGAATTTATCCGCCATGTTTACTGACCTTGATAGATTGTATTTTGGGACAGCCAATGAGAATTTAGGTTCTATAGGAGCGGATCTTTTTGGAATTCCCTTATTTTAAGCATAAATATCGCTGCTTGCATAAAAATAACACTTAAAATGGTTTTATATACCTATGTTTTTGTGATGAAATTCAGCACAATCATTTATAAACACCGATAATTGCTTTATTCAGTTGTTCTAAATTTCAAGCGAAAGTCTCATTACGTCACGCGTGAACTGTCATGGCTGATGAAAAAGACTACCAGGAAACTTGCAGAGTTATTTTACAAGTTTTTCGCATTTAACGGGATATGTTGTTGACAGTGAATAAAAAATTCGTCTTCTTAGAAGTAAGTTGAATGTAAAAATAATTTATTTTGCCTGCAGTCGCTCATATTAAAAAAAAATATTTGCACCATTACGGAGATGCGATGGAATTGTAGCCCTCTCCAGAAAACATCAGATAAAAAAAAATCGGAGAGGGCTACATTATTGCAGCTACTATACACTTAGCAGTTCCTTAGTTTGGTTGCTTAATACCCATAGGCATGGTAGGGGAACAAAAAATGCATTTCAACAAATCAGTAATATTCAGCAATAATCAGTTGTGCCGCTACCACACATGAACCCTTTACTCTTAGGCCTATATCCACACATTGCACAATTTTTGGAAAGGCATCCTTGCTTTTCAAAAATATTTGATAAATACCAAGGAGCACATTTAAAACAATTCATTCATTTTTAGTATATAAGTACAGCCCCCCCCCCCCCCCCCCTCTATGGTACAACTGACCCTGGGGTCTTGAAATTTACAATTCTTGAAGATTTGGTCCCTTGCTCATAACTATATAGGTATTGGTATTTCATCTGCTTAAAGTCTAGGAGCAAAGAAGAAAATATTCAAAGATTTAATGTTTTTTCACAATACATGCATAATCAATACACTCCCCCAACACCAGAATCCCTGACCCTGGGGCCATAAAATTCACAATTTTGGTAGAGGCACTCTTGCTCATCATAACTATGTACTTAGTTAGTTTATTTAATACCCAGGAGCAGAGAAGAAGATTTTCAAAGAATTCATATATTTTCACTATATAATCAATAGAGCCCAGCCCTTACCCCAGAACCCCTGACCCTGGGGCCACAAAATTCACAATTTTAGTAGAGGCACTCTTGCTCATCATAACTATGTACTTAGTTAGTTTATTTGATACCCAGGAGCAGAGAAGAAGATTTTCAAAGAATTCATGTATTTTCACTATATAATCAATAGAGCCCCGCCCTTACCCCAGAACCCCTGACCCTGGGGCCATAAAATTCACAATTTTGGTAGAGGCACTCTTGCTCATCATAACTATGTACTTAGTTAGTTTATTTAATACCCAGGAGCAGAGAAGAAGATTCTTAAAGAAATAATGCATTTTCACTATATACTTTTTTAGCCCCGCCCTAGCACAAGTACCTCTGACCCCAGGGCCATGAATTTCACAATTTTGGTAAAGGACTCAATGCTCATTACAATCATGCAAACAGTTTGACTGCTTGATGTCCAGGAGTAAAGAAGAAGATTTTTAAAGATTGCATTAATTTTAGTGGTTTTGGCCCCATCCCTCAGGCCCCAGGGGGGCAGGAATCATGAAATTCACAATTTTTGTTCCCCTTCACCCATAGATGCTTTGTGCCAAATTTGGTTGAAATTGGTTCAGTGGTTGCAGAGAAGAAGCTGAAAATATTCAAAAGTTTACGACCGATTGACGACGAACGATGTACGACGAACGACGTACGACGACGGACAAAAACAGATAGCAATAGGTCACCTGAGTGACTCAGGTGACCTAAAAATCTAAAAAGTTCTTTTAAAAAGAAAAAAAAAACATTCCCTCTGAATTTTTCTGTGTCTAAATGAATGTTCTTGATTGTCCAACAATAGAGAAAAACACATAAAGAACTGTAATGAAGTCAGAGCAAGTAAACATTGATTTTGCTCATTATCCAATCACACGCTGGCTAATAAGATTTGGGAATCACTGCAATCTTCTTTTCTAGTTAGATTTTATCACCAAAAAGGAGGAACTTTATTTGATAAGAATTTAACAGGAAGAAATAACAGTCACAAAACAAAGGACTGGATATAAAAAATACACCTAGCCCCCGGTCACAATTAACAAAGAATGGGTAAAGAGCAACATGACTAGAAAACAAGACCCATGGGTCACAAAGCTCACCTGAGTCACCTTAGCCCACCAGTTTTTCATCTCAAGGTTTGATAAAAAAGAAAATTTCATCTTTACACAAATTAAAAGAAAATTCTTATCCCACATTGTGGTTTCATCCTCACCTCAAAGTATTTTGGTATAACATATACACGTATATAACTGAATAATGAATGAACACTTTTGGGGTTGCTTCAATATTATTTTGACTACATGGCTTCAATGTTCGCAGATGAGGTAAACAAGAATAAGATAACAATTGCTTTGGCTCTTTTCTCTGACAACAAAGGATCCATTATTTTCAATAAATGAAAAAAAATTAATTCATACAACTTTAGAATGTTTCCATATAAATATTTTCCACATAAATGTCTCCATAGGAATGTTGCCCTACTATTCCCTAAATGTTGACCCAACCTATCCCAGAGGGCCAAGATTTTAACAAACTTAATTCTGCAATATCGACAAATGTTTTCTTACAAATATCCTTCGCCCTGCTGTTATCAAAAATTTCACACCTTACCTTTATCTTGAAGTTTTTAAACAGACTTAAATCTGCATTAAGTGTGGATGCATACAGTTGAATTCTATGGGCCTTGATTTATACAAATTAACTCAAGTCTTTGTCAGGAAGCTTAATACACATAAGTTTTATTTTTTCTGGCTTATTGATTCTTGAGAAGAAATTTTTAAATGAACCCACTAAATTATCAATATTTTAAAACTATCTCCCCTTGAACTACTGTGAAATCACTAATTTTTCGGGGTTGGGGGGGTTAGTGGTGGTTAATTTTCGTGGTTTTCAAGGTATGAAGAGACCTAGAATTTATGTCCAACACAAAATGCAATTTTTCACATAAATACTACTGAAACAATTCTTCAACGACGAATTCAAATCCCCATGAACCAATATATTTTCCTCAAACCACGAAAACTTGACCCCTTGAAAATATGTGATTTTACAGTAAAGTATTACTCTTGATTTGAAAGAAACAATCTCCTTAACCCTGCTTTTGGTTGAAATGGGTCCAGTGGTTTTGGAGAAGAAGACAACATTGTGAAAAGTTACAGTAAAGATCCATACAAGGAAAACAGATGAACTTTGATCAGAAAATCTCACTTGCAGCTTTGACTCAGGTGAGCTAAAAATGAATTATCTAACTCAAGATTGCACATAAGATCAAGCTTCTTTGGCCTTCAACTTTACCAGCCAGATATATATATTGCATCAAGTGGAAGTCCAGCTACACTTACAAGCAGTTAATTAGTGGGTTTATGAGGTTAATGGGTTATTTAATACAATATCTTACTGACCCACTAAACCTTGTCATTGCAAGCTTGCATCTCCCAGGTTGTAGAAAACTGTAGTTAACACTTATTGTTGAATATTGCCACTTGTCAGAATTTGAGTTTTTTAAATGTACACCGGTAGTCAGAATATTTTTTATCAACAATGAAATCAAGAAAAAATCAAATACTAAGGAACAAATAAAGCAATCACTGTTCAATAGAAATATTTTTAAAACCAAAATTCTCTCTTGAACCTTTTTTTAGATTTAGTGGACAGATACTTTCAATTAATTTGTCAATGAATATCTTATTCAACCATCATGTTCAATTTAATACAATGACAAGTTCAAACACAACATGAGTATGTTCCACAGCATTGGCTGGAGCTGCTCTTGTGAACTCTCTGACAGTTGATTGGCCCTCACTTGACCTTCATTTTCTTGGCTGGAGGCTCATCAGGGGCTCCAATGACTCTATCCAATGAAAATCCTGGAAAAAATATGCACATGACTTGTTGATTAAACCATAGTCACATTCAACTTTTTCAATACATGTTCAATAACAGATTTCAGAAAAGGCCCATAAGCCATGATGCTCACTTGAAGATTTGGGCATCAGCATACGTTTTCCACCAAGATTTTTATGTAAAACTTAAAATTTTTAATTTGGCCCAATTTTTTCCCAGGGTCATTACTGGAACAAACTTGAATCTACACTACCTGAAGATGCTAAACATTAATACGACAAATTGGTTTTGCTGAGATTTTCCCCAATATATACAAACTAAAAACTTTGATCATTCATTTTTTACCCACCCTACCCCTAGGGGTCATACCTGAAAAAACAAATCTACACTACATCAGAATGCTTCCATACTAGTATAACTGATGGTTTTGCTGTTCTTGGGAAGAAAATATTGAATTTTTTCTTCAAAATACCTACGAAAAACTTTGATCATCCATAGTGGCCTCACCATACCCCTAGAAATCCGATTATAAGTTGAATAAACTTGGATGTATACTATGTAGTGAAGCTTTCAAATAAAGTTCAATTCCTCTGGCTGTGTGATTCTTGGAGGAGGATTTTGAAAGATTTTTTTACCCAGCATATATTCCTATATGAACTTTGAACACGTAATCCTTTCCTATCACTAGGGGTTTTAACTTTAACAAACTTGAAAATCTACACTATGTAATGCAGATATCACACAAGTTTCACATTTTGACATCAATCTTTTTTTCAGTTAATGGTCTTATAAACTCTTTTTTCAGAAGGACCCAACCAAATTTTCACTATTTCTAAATTATCTACATTTTAAATAGTGTGGTCCTTCATTTGAATAAACTTGAAGTTCCTTTCATCAAAGGCTGTTTGGTGGCAAGATTCATTGATTTCCCCATTATGGTTTCTGGAGAAGTTATATGTGTAAAAAGTTTACATAAAACACATAAAATACAGATTCCAGATACTCTTTGATCAGAAAAGATTATGAAGTCATTTTACTCAGGTTTGCTTAAAATTTTACACACATGAATTAATAGACTTTATAATTACTGTAAAACCAACTATTATTCGCGTCATCTTTTATTCGCAATTCGTCAGTTTGAAATCAATCCGCGGCGATTAATTTTCACGAATAAGGAAACATTTTCTACAAAAACACAACAAAACTAGAACTGTCCAAACGGGACAAAATACCCCCCGCTGGGTTTTTCAGAAGTAAGTTTTTCCATAATAAAGATATGTATCAAACACAAATTATGAAATTTTTATTCCAGTGACCTTGAACTTCCCCAAATAACCTTGGGTCAAGGTCATGACACACCCTTGGGTCATGGGCAATCTTTCAGTGAAATGAGAACCTACCAGGTTTATCCATAAGAAAGATATGGACCGGACTTGAATTATGAAATTTTTATTTCAGTGACCTTGAACTTCCCGAAATAACCTTGGTTCAAGGTCATGACACACCCTTGGGTCATGGGCAATCTTTCAGTGAAATGAAAACCTACCAAGTTTATATATAAGAAAGATATGGACCGGACATGAATTATGAAATTTTTCTTCCAGTGACCTTGAACTTCCCCAAATGACCTTGGGTCAAGGTCATGACACATCCTTGGGTCATGGGCAATCTTTGTGTGAAATGAGAACCTACCAAGTTTATCCATAAAAGATATGTATCAAACATGATTTACGAAAATTTTCTTCCAGTGACCTTGAACTTTCCCAAATGACCTTGGGTCAAGGTAATGACACACTCTTGGGTCATGGGCAATCTTTGTGTGAAATGAGAACCTACCAGGTTTATCCATAAGAAAGATATGGACCGGACTTGAATTATGAAATTTTTCTTCCAGTGACCTTGAACTTCCCCAAATGACCTTGGGTCAAGGTCATGACACACCCTTAGGTCATGAGCAATCTTAGTGTGGAGCAGTAGATTCTAATGTCCCTCTGTAAGAAAGATATGGACCGGACACGATTGCACAGACAGACGGACAGCTGGACAGACAGACAGACGGACAAGGTGATTCCTATATACCCCCCCAAACTTCGTTTGCGGGGGGTATAATAAATGATTTGCGGCGATAAATATTAGCGAATTAAAGTAGGACGCGAAACTCGCGAATATTTGTCGCACGCGAATAAAAGTTGGTTTACAGTATGAAGCTGTTGGTATATCTGACCTTTCTCCATCCTGAATACTTCACATTCCTTCCTAATCTCAGCTATTGCTCTCTCATCGTCCTCCTGTTACAATCCAACATATATTTATGTAACAAACCTAGCCCACTTCCATCAATATTTGAAAATTAGGATTTCTTCTAGAACTACTAATAAAAAATTTTTTTGGATAGAAGACAGATTATTTTTGTCATTTCCCCCTGTTTATCTATTTATTGAAATACATGATCTTTCAAGTTTTTACTAATAACACATTTTTGCCCCCTTTTACTACTTTTTCAAATGATTTACAATGTATCTTAATAAACTACATAAAACAACCTATTATCATGATTATGTAATATTTTGGTGGCTAGTGACTATATTATTAATCACTTTAAGGTCATGTGACTTTACTAAGTCATGTGACTTACCTCTGCCTTACTCCACAAGAAGCAATCATTACACTTGTTACATGGTTTCTTCGGTTCTCTCAAATGTTGACAGAAGTGTTTGTAGCTTATCTGATAAAAAATACAATTTAAAACAAATGATACACAAGTATGGAAAACATCAAACAATAAAAAGTCACAAAACTATGTAAACATAAAAATACTTGGCTAATACTTGCCTAAATGCATTGTATTCTAGAAAGCATTTTATTTACAGAAAGAGATATGATGTGTCCTTTTCTATGGCATTAAAGTAATGGTGTGAAATTTTGTCATTATAAGCCTCTAATGATATGTCACTTGAAATTAGTGTAGCGACTGTTTGGCTACATCAACAAAAGCTAGAATTAAGATAAGTTTTAATATATCTCCTCCAATTTATTTCCTAATTACTGCTGTATTTCATCAAATTTTAGAAATATGATACAAATGCTTATCTTTGATGTTATGCGAATGGAAGCAAAATATTATCTAATTCAATGTGTTTCCAGTTAATTTTTTTGTTTAAGTACATTTAGATGGAGATCTAAGAAAGATAACACTGTTTTTCATCTTTCAAGACCTGTAAAGCAAAAGGGTTATGAAAACCAGCCAACAGAACAAATTTTTTGATCCAAATTAAGTCAGATTTGCTGCTTAATTGCACAATAAATATTTTACGTTATTAAGTACTTATGAGGATTTTTTTTTTTAGCACTGATGAATCATTTTCTTCTTTCTTTGTTCAGAATTTTATTGCACATTGTTCAGTGTCCAATTCATCGTGTTCATGTATATCTCACTCCTAGTTATGTCTCCTGATGTGAAGTGTCAGGATTTTACCTATGGATAGGTTACAACCACAGGAAAGGGTGTTTGATCAGTCCAACACACAATGTGACAGAGAACTTCAGATTCTATCTATAGATAGTACAACCACTAGCTATGTTAAGCCTTAAAAGATTTGTGCTTCACTGAAAACAAGAATTCAACCATGACCTTGCAAACACAAAGAGCATACCAAAGCCCTTGGCAACCACAATGCTGATTTTGAATACATCAAAATAACAAACACTATTTTGCACTCAAACTGAGACCGGTCATTTTAATATACATTGAACAACATCATCTATTTCATATTAAGATGAACTTTTGAAACTCACTTTAGTTTTAGTGCAGAATTTTTTTTTATAGAAAACTGCTGTTAGTTGTACTAAATCTCCCCCTCCAAAAAAAAATTGAATTAAAATTTGCCAGACTTACATCCGGTTTACGACAGACATAACACATGGAAGCACCGCATTTACAGGTCATCTTGTTACACCCCTCTTCCTTCATAAACTTAGCTTTGCACCGGTGACAGGTTCGAATTTTGGCCATAGCCATCTTCTCCTCACTGTAAGAAAAAATGATTTAGGACATCATTTATGGAATTAGATATATAAATAAACAAGATTTGGTTGATAAATTTAGATTTATTTGAAAATATAAACATACATGCCACCTCTTTAAGGGGTCAGTTATTTAGAACTTGCTCCTTAACTGAGTTTCATGAATCTTAAATCTTCATATGCAATACAATAAATGGACATGGCCCTTTGATTGAATTTCCTTCACCTAAAGATTCTCTACATGAGTGGCTGAAATTGGTTCTAAGAAGCATCAATTGTTTTTCCTAGCAGCTACAATGTTGAACAAACATCAAAGCTAGCTCAACATACATGTGTCAGAGAATGGTGCTTAGTGCCATCAGACAGACATACTGTAAATCACTTTTTATTCGCGAGAACTTTATTTTCGCGTAATTACGCGAGACACTGTGCACGCGAAAATTAAATTCTTGCGAATAAAAGTACTCCATAAGAGTATATAGAGCAATAACCACATTTCGTGAAAATTTTGTCTCGCTAATCAAGAGTAAATGACTATCTCGCGAAAATAAGGTGTCGCAAAAATTAAGTGATTAGGGTTGGACACCGGTACACGGTACCAGTACCGTACCGAATAGTTACTTCAAAAATACCGGTAAAATACCGTTTCATTTAATACCGGTACTGATAACGGTATTTCTTAATCCTTAAAACACTGTTATACATTTAAAATTATTTTTTTAAAAAGATTCCAGACTCGCTAAAATGGAATTCTCCGTGCATTGAAGAGTAGGCTAATTAACGAAATCAGTACTAAGTAAGATACTTCCTTTTTACAGCCGATATTCGAGGGAAACCAATGCGTATTAAAAAATATTTACATTAATCTTGTTTCAGTTTTATTAATAGAAACTGATAGAAATTGTCAATTAAAAAGGCAAAACATTGCGAATTTGCGATGTCATCTCTCCCCATTTCTCATTTTTCGTTGTTTAGAGCTACCAAGCAAAATGGCGACCGGATGTAGCGATCAGCTGTCATTTAGCAGAGAATTAGACGGTGTTGTTTGTAATCTTATTTTTTATTTTATAGAGATTCAGATTAATTTGTTTTGTTGATCATTTAATAAAAGGTTGAATTATAGAAATAGAATATATTTAACACATTTTAGATTATAATATTAAAAGTTTGGTTATAAGCAGTGATAATTGAAAGCACATTTGTTACTAAAATAAACCCAGATTCTCATTCATAAAGGTATAGTACCGTACCGTTAAAAATACCGTATCGTTTCAAAAATACCGGTATGGTATCATACCGTTTCATCCTTAACGGTATCCAACCCTATAAGTGATCTACAATAGTGATTAAAAAAGAATACCTCCATAGTAATATGGCCCCCTATTAGATTGCTATCTCCAACCACTTACAATTTAATTCGTAGACTAACTTCATCCTTCTTTTCAATTTCTTCACATCGCTTCCCAAAATGTTCCTTCCAGTCTTCTTTACAATATCTACAGGTCTCCTGGAAAAACAAATCTACCTGATAAAGGACTGGGTAAATATTGGTACATCAAATACCATTCATACCAATCTTGAACACTGAAATAATACACTTTGATTGATACAGTAAAACATTAGTGAAGCCCCCTCCTTGACAGAATGTCATTTGCTTATCAACATATAAGCTTCATCTAACTCTTGTAATGTAATACTGTGTATTAAATCATTTTAACACTGATGCACAATAACACCTTTTAATCAGGTGCATAATTTGTCTGCTAGATGCTTAAGATTAGAGTATAGGGAAAATTTTTGCCTCCATTTTATTTTTACCCCTTTGCATTCTAAAAAAGGACGAATTAAAAGAAGACAGCATTATTTCTTAAACAGAACTATGACAGGATGAATTTAAAACAGGGAAAAATTGTTGGCAAGTGCAAAAAGGCTAAAATAACATAGGGCAAAAATTATCCTGTATACAGTATTTAGAAGAAATACTCATTTTGATGATCTTAACTTCTCTGGGGCCTAAACTTTGGACTAAGTAGAGATGAATTTCACAAGTGTATGCAAACAGTAAAGAAGAGTTTTAGAGGTTTAAAAACCTTCCATGTACATGACTAACCTATCCTCACCCTACAGCCTTATCCTTGACACTGGGGTCACGATTTTCAATTAGATTTCTAAATGATGGTTGTGTATTGCAACCATGAAAACAGCTTGCCTGTTTTAAAAAAAGATTTCCAAAGATATCATTAATTTTCAAAAAAGGACACAGACCTAGTTCTTCTGTGCCCTAGACATGACAAGATTCTGTTGAGGAATATGTAATTGACTCATATTACAGATTCTGAGATTTAACTAAATACGTAAGCTAAATTCCAACTGTAGGTCACCTACTTAAACATTCTTTCATTAAAGCAACCATTTCAATTCTATAGTACTGACAATAAGGCACATTCAAAGGAAGATTTTATTTATCTATAAACTGATTCTAACTTTAGAGACTAATATTCAGCCAGTTATATTTTAGATCTTTACTTTGATAGCAATTTCAGAACATTAGGTTTGGTGTAGGCTTGGCACATGAACTAGATGAATTTTTCTATTGGTGGATTGCTGCACTATTACCAGGGTTCGACACTAACGTTTTTAGGCTTTGGTCCGGCCGGACTAGTGCTTCTTTACTTTTACTAGTCCGCGGGCAATTTTATTAGTCCGTCAAACTTAAAATAAAAATAATTAAATAGAATAAATGTTGCAATGTACTTTTATAATTTTTTCAAATAAACAAAGCATTTACATGAAATGTTTATACCAAGAATTCGTTGAAACCGTGCAATCAGGAACTACGATCGTACTCCCGATCTCATTCGTTTTTCTCTATACATGATTACATCATCTAAACATCCGACATCTTTCTTTATGTGTCATACTAAATCATGATCGCTAAAATGTTTAATTTCATTCCAAGGAGTCCTTAAATTAAGCGCCGAATTGACTCAGAATTACCAAACTTCCCGCCAAAAAGCTACAAAGTTAAAAATAATTACGGGGTTTTCCAGTGAAAGTTGTCGAAAATTCGAACATCGGTAAATTCTTTTTTTCCCCCAGAAAACAACTTTTATTAGTCCGAATGAAAATGTATTAGTCTGAGACTAACGGACTAACGTTAATGTCGAACCCTGTATTACCGTAAAACTTGTAACAGACACTGTTTTTGATTTTGATGTCAAAAGTGGCCTTGATTCACAGATCTTTGCTCTTTGAAAGGGGATGTTCCACTTTGCGATGCACTTGTTTAAAAAGATCGCTAGAATATCAAATGCAGCATATATTCATCATTATTTAATAACAAGTAAAAATACCTTCATACAGGATGTGTTTTGGCAAGAAAATACTTTATCCCCAGGATCCAGTAAGGCTGCAAAATCACAGTGTGGACATCTACAAGTAAAATCAATGAAGAAAAAGAAATCAGTGTGAAAAAAGAACTACATTTGCTATAGCAAATTGTGCAAAAAAAACCTTTAAAACAGTTCCTTGACCAACACAACTTTAATGTCCAACATGACCTCGGGTCAAGGTCAGGACACACCCTTGGGACATATACAATATTTGTGCCAAGTATCATTTTCTTATGATTCTTCATAACAAAGCAATAGCCTGGACAAGATTGTATGGACAGACACACAAACCTTTGCAATGGATAAATGTAAGGTAGCTGAAAAGGGTTTATTTTGAAGAGGACCATTTGAAACCTATCAAGAGATGTGTTGTTTAAGTCTAAAGGGGACAAAAAGTAACTATTCTCTGAAAAAATTATAAAATAATTTTTTTTAAGAAAAGTATTTGTATGATGAAATGAAATATAAGCAGTGGAGCCTCATTTATCCGGACGCTTTGGTTCCTAGTCAATTTGTCCGGATATGTGAAAAGTCCAGATATCTGAATTACCAGTTAAACAAAACAAAATAACTTAAAATAATTCCTTTCTGATGAAAAGTCGTCTGGATACTGAAGCATCCGGATATCTGGCGTCCGGATATCTGAAGGTCCACTGTATATATGAAAATATGAAAATCACAAATGTTCCATACCCTAAGTCAATTGGTTAAGTTTGAGGCGGACTGAACTTAAGGGAAAGAAATGCAACGAACAAAGATTCTAAACAGAGAGGCTATTTTTGACCTAGACCCTTGACCTAGAAACTTCATTCAAGGTCACTGCACATCCATTGACCAGTGGCATTCTATATGGGAGTATGAGCCACATTTGACTAAGAGGAGAGATGACATGCTTCTGACAAGGATTTTTCATAATTCTGCTATGACCTGAATCTTAAACCTAGAAACATGGTTCAAGGTCACTGCACACCTTTACCCAAAGGCATTCTGTGGGTGAACTATGAGACAGATTGGGCCAAGGAGAGAGAAAATATTTTTCAGACAAGAATTTAAACAGAGAGGCTATTACTGACCTTGACCTAGAAACTTCATTCAAGATCAAGGATATGCTCTGGACAAGAGATCTCAAACGGACAGACTGATCACTATAGGGCGCCCGCAGAGCAGGGCCCTTATCAATTTTATAGTGACAATCCAATTTGACACAATATCAATCTCCATCTTTCAAACTTTACCTGACAAGATCATCCAGAGCAGCTAAGTTTATACTCTCCTCCTGAACTCTGTCATTGTATTTATCCAGGATATTGGCTGGTAGGGCCTTGTCTAACTGACCTGTACAAAAATTAAAGTGAAACATTCAACGAAGGAACACTTTTGGATGCCATGTTATTGAACATCCAAATATATGTATTTTATATAAAAAGTACATGTATTTCTGTTGCCAAACTTTAACAGTTCCTTTTCTTCAGCATTGCAAAGAAAAGCTTAATTCATTGCTTAAATAATTTTAGACTTGATAAAACAAGGCGGAAGGACAGACAGCTCAAGACATACAACCCTTTTTTTCAATCTAGACACATTTAAAAAAAAATTTTCAATCATTTTCTCAAAATCAAACAAACATGTACTTGATAAGCTTACTTTTTGGAAATGAAGCTTCACACCCCTCCGACATGCAGAGTAATGAAGTCTGAAAAAAAAATTTGGTCATTATAATATATTAGTAAGTACACAAGTTGTATCTATCACCAAACATTTGTTCATTTTAGGACAAGAGGCTAACTTCAGAGTCCTCCTTGTTTTGTCATTAGTTCATACTGTATACAGTTATTTTCGTCTTGTTCATTTTCACCATTTTACATCTGGAAACAGTTTTGAGATGTTTTGAATTTGTTCAGAGGTACCCATGAATCACTTGATCTCAACCAATAAAGCTGTATTTTTCACTTTATAAAACACAACAATGGGTATGTCTTATATCTTACAAAGAGTAAATTAATCCTCTAAAACTGGGGTAATGGTATATATCTGTCCCCGTAAAAGTAAAAGTTACAAAAAAAAAAAAAACAACAAAATAAGCTAAAGTGCCATTTATGAAGAACTGAAATCACGTTGCAAGTAATATTGTTGAGCTTAGTACAATGTATAGCAAAAGTTGAACTTAAATTGACTCATTCCATACATTGTTTATATGATAGGATTAATCAACTCCTCAAGTTTCTGTGGACAGCCAGTAACAAACCCAATATCTAATATTACTCTAATAGTACTTAGTACATAAATGTTAAGTCCTTTCTGTGAACTATTGATATTATTGTGTTAGTACATACATGTCCTTTTCAATAACTTGTTAGGAATACTTGATAATATTATTAATCTTTTTTTTTTTTTACTTTCAGAATGATGCAGCTATGAGTGTGTGACATCTTCCATTAATAGAAGATAAAACGTCCAGTCTTAATATGAAAGTATAAAAACACCAGTGTTCTATCGCTTCAGAGAACTTGTAAAGATATAGTATATATACCAATAGTAATGTGATTACCTTTCCATGCCCAAACACAGATTCATTGGCATAATTCTTCAGACAATCCTCACAGAACAGGTGCCCCTCGTAACACTGTACCATATTGTCAAAGGCCACCTCCATATAACAACAGCCACACTCGATCAGCTGACCGGTCTCCGCATACTCACACTCGTTCATCTGCTGGGCTACCTTCAGGTCTTCATCCTAATTGGTCAGAGAAAACAGCCATTATCTTTAATGATGTCGAAATTAGAAAACTTCTGTCTGTTCTTTAAAGCAGCTTTGAAATTCTCGAAGTGCGCTTTGAATCCTTTCTTCATATTCCCACTATAAAAAGCAAGTGTTGCAATCTCAACATTTTCTGAAACATTTGCTCAAAATTATGAACAATTTTGGTTAAGAAAACCTACACTTATATGTAAATTTTCTTCTCAGAGACATCTACCTTCTTTTACAACAAACTTATACCATGACAAAAACAAGAGACCCATGGGCCACATTGCTCACCTGAGAAGATTCAACCATTTTGTTCTTTACCAGATTTCCCCCTTGTAATACATATTGCTACCCCATCCTACCCCACTGATCATAATTTAGACATTTTGAAATCTACACTACCCCAGAATGCTTCCATGTGCACATAAGTTCCAGCTTTTCTGGCCCAGTGGTTCTTGAGAAGAAGATTTTCAAAGATTTTTCCTACATATTTCTATGTAAAACTTTGATTCCCCATTGTGGCCCCGCCCTACCCCTGGGGGTCATGATTTGAACAATTTAGAATCTACACTACCTCAGGATGCTTCCACATAAGTTTAAGCTTTTCTGGCCCAGTGATTCTTGAAAAGATTTTCAAAGATTTTCCTTATATACTCCTATGTAAAACTTTGATTCCCCATTGTGGCCCCGCCCTACCCCCGGGGGTCATGATTTGAACAATTTAGAATCTACACTACCCCAGGATGCTTCCACATAAGTTTCAGCTTTTCTGGCCCGGTGGTTCTTGAGAAGAAGATTTTTTAATGACCCCACCCTATTTTTGTCTTTTCTTGATTTTCTCCCCTTGTGAGGGGACTTGGCCCTTCATTTTAAGATTTTAAATTTCCCTTCACCCAAGGATGCTTTGTGCCAAGTTTGGTCAAAATTGGCCCAGTGGTTCTTGAGAAGAAGTCGAAAATGTGAAAAGTTTACAGACGGACAGACAACGGACAAAATGTGATCAGAAAAGCTCCCTTGAGCCTTCAACTCAGGTGAGCTAAAAATTACACTTGAAAACCTATGAACTTGACCTAATGACTTTCTTTAATTGTAAGTTTTGCTTGTGCTAAGTATGAACTTCTTCTGTTCTGGGTCTCACAATAATATCTGATTGTCAGATGCATATATGCCATCAAATTAAAAAAATAAACCAATCTAAATTTAAAATATAAAGAATTGTTTTTAAGTTATGTATAATAAAATTTATGTATTTTTCAAGCATTTGCACTTTATGCAACTTGAAATGAGTGTTCACTTTTGGGATGTATCCAAAGAATGGTCTCATTTAAAAAGAAAAAAAAAATAAGTATGATGCAAATCTAAATATTATGCACAAAACTTTCATTTTTTCATTACTTTGAAAATAGTTTTAATCTTTTTTGAAACGAATTTAGAAAGATATTTTAATGCAAATTTTAACAGAAACAAAAGTCTTGTAAGATTTTACAATCAGCTTTTTTAAGTTCAAGTCCAAACTACAGGCCTGCTAACCTTGGCCTCTTCTCTCAGTGACCTCACTAACCTTGGCCGTATTTGGTATAAAGTAAAATATATCTTGCAAACTCCAGTGACCTCACTAAAATGTTTATTATCACGTTTTTTTCTACTTTCGGTTTTAATCTTCCCTCTGATTGTTTCTAATGACCCTCACTAACCTTGAAACCTCTTCCCTCAGTGACCTCACTAACCTCAACTGTTTAGGACGTTTTTTTTTAAAAATAAATATCAATATTTACTGGCTCTTCCCTAAGGACAGTGACCTCATTAACCATACAAAAATATATCTGCCTCCTCCATCAATAGCCCTTAGCCTCTTCCCTCAGTGACCTCACTAACCTTGGCCTCTTCCCTCAGTGACCTCACTAACCTTGGCCTCTTCCCTCAGTGACCTCACTAACCTTGGCCTCTTCCCTCAGTGACCTCACTAACCTTGACCTCTTCCCTCAGTGACCTCACTAACCTTAGCCTCTTCCCTCAGTGACCTCACTAACCTTAGCCTCTTCTCTCAACCTCTCTTTGACAAATTCGTACTCCTCCAATAACTCAGGTGGCAGACTGCTCAGGGAACACTTCAGAGCCCGTGGACATTTTAGACACGTCACCTTCATCAACCTCTCCTCAGAACCTTCAATTACACAAATAAAATCATTGACCGAATAATGCTAAATAGGGCCATAGGTTAATGGTTTGGTTTTTCTAGTCATTAAATCACAGGTTTCTGGATTTCTGACAAGTTTGAACTGTTATAATGGTTTGTTGCAAACTTGGCCTATTGATCTTTGCACCTCTTTCTTCTTCACAATCAATGTTACTACACTTGTATATCATACAGAAATGTATTGTAATCTAAGGATTCTTACCAACAGGAATATTGCCCACAATCACAGCCTGGGACAAGGTTTTCTTTCCCTCACCTAGGACATGTTAAAAATTTTGTGATAAAAGTATATGCTCTTATGAAAGAGCAAATACTGTAGAAGTACTTTTTTCCGCATTGTATTAATTTACGCTATGTACGCGGTCACAAATTTTCCGCGGAAATTTGTCCAAGCGTACATAATATAAATGTAAGGCATATCGTGACAATCTAGAAAATCCGCGTAATTTTCTACCCGCGGATTAAACAGAAATTGAGATTCCGCGGAATTATGACCCCGCGGAAAAAATTACTTCTACAGTATTCAGATACTAGATACTAATGTCTTTATCATTAATTTTAATATTTTTTAATACTGTATCCATGCCTATACAATTAATTGATCTTTTTATAACAAGGATTGGCTCTGTAATAAAACTGTGAACCTGGAAATCAAAATCAAGCCTTTTAAACAACAGCAGTATGTAAACCACCAAAAACTGAAATGTTTCATATACATGTAATATATTTCCTTTTTTGTTATTCACATTCAAATTTCCATGACACAAGAACTGTTTTGCATTTTAGTATCCAATTTTTAAAGATCTGTTTTAAAATATCAAGGATAACCTTTTTCACTAGAGTTCATCTTTTTGCATACTAAAATTTGTAGAAATCACAAAAGCATTTTGTTTGTACAAATTTTATGGATCTTTTGTCTCAATCAAAGTTATGCTTATAGATATACTATTTTAACTGATTTTATGTGCCATCCCTATGATTTCTATGAATCTAATTCTACTTACTCTGCATGTCCTCCAAGCCTTTTTTGACAATCAGAGATAGAGCCTTGTGCATAGGAGCATAATGCCAATTATAATGCGAGGCCAACGTTCGAATATCTCGGACAGATATCTACAAAACAAATACAATAATTACCATGTTACCAAGCAGGGCTCGAGCTGTGATTCGCCATTGTCGCCAATTGCGAATTTTTTTCAAAAGTGGCGAAAAGAAATTCATAAGTGGCGAAAATGATTTTTTTAAAATGTACCATGTACAAAATTTGTGTAGACCTTATTAGCTCCTTTGTTTATTCAATGTATACAGATAAGTCCCTTTGTTTATTTAATGCAGCAGAGGTGTGAAAAATGAAACCTACATGTAGGAAATCACGTCTCGCTTGAACGAACACAACTGACTAGGTAATTAGCCTGGAGCAATAAAGGGTTACAAAATTGCTTGAAATAAAATAATTTGGATTAAATAAGGGGGGATAAAGTGTAATAAGGAGATGAAGTTTGTAAATAAAAGATTTTTATCAACAAAATATGGATCTATTTAGATCGGTTTTTTTTAAAAACCGAAAGTAGGTTAACATGACGAAAATTGTAGAGAATGGCTTCAAGTTTTACCAAATGAAAATTGAAAAATGTGTACATTATACCATAAACTGACATAGTAGTGAAAAAGAAATTGGTTTGAAAACAGAATTATCTTAGTAAATTACACTGAATTATTTACAATTACACTGGTTTGCATATTAAACCCTGGAGTCTCCAAGTTGTTAAGATAAAGTCAAGATTTAAACCTAATTTTCATTACTTTTTAATTACTTCCTTTCACAGTTAATTAATGAAATGATAAAAATTTCCATTTTTAAAAATATGTCATATATTTTTAATAGGTCTGTAGCCCCCCCCCTTCCCAGGCAAAAAAAAAATATTATAATCAAGAGGAGATTTTCTGTCAAGAGTTGGCTATATCAATTCAATATCAAATTAATTGTATAATTCCAACAGTAGTTTTTTTTTTAAATGGATACTATCATAAGCTTTAAACATTACAAATTTAAAACAATGTCTGTGATAAATTTAATAGAAAAAATTGAATAACATAAAGTGCATTGCATCATGTTGCATTGTTGAGAAATCAGGTGTAAGTATGCCTTTCCTTTTGTCGCAAAAAGTGGCGAAAAATATTTTCGGTCCAGTGGGAGCCCTGTTACCAAGTGTAACTGTGCCTTAGATTTAATATCCAGAGCAGAACATTTTGGAAGTAAAGAATTGAAAATCTGAACCAACTAGGCTTTATACTACTTGTTTTACAAAGATTGACTTTTTTCATAAAAGTTATATTGTACAGTTGAACTCAGATATCTCATACCACCGATATTAGTTATGTGTCTTTCCAAGATGTTTTAAATAAATAGTGGGCATTATCTTGATGACATACCATTTTAAATTCTGACTGTAACAGCAGCTCACAGTTAATTCTGTATTCATAGGATTTCATCATTTCTGAATAGTCTTCATAAAAATTCCTGCTGCTTCTCTGAAAAAAAAGAAGGAAAATTTTAAAACAGAAGCAAAACTCATTCTGATTAATTTGTTTGTATGGTATAAAAAGGGTTAAATTTGTTTTCGTTAATAATCTAAGGGATACGTGTACTAAAAATTTGTCTTTTTCTCTTATTCCTTGCAGTGCATGCCTTGAAATAATGCAAGATTTCTATCAGATCTGCATCTTTGTTGGTAATGTCTTTGACATAAATAAAGAGGTTGAAAAACATTGACTTCAAAGCATACATATAAATCTATTATCTAACCACACAAGCTCATCAGCCATCACCGAGTCTAAAATTTTACCTTTGGTGGCGAGGGATCGGAAGACACAGTACTGGATGGGAGCTTCTGTACTCGGGGGTAGTTAGAGTTCTCCAGAAGTAGATTACAGACATTGTTCAGGGCCTCTGGTCCTATATGCACCAGTAACAAGTTCTTCACATACTGGGGGTCCACATCAGGGAACATCAGCAGCTGCGAAATCCAACATCATGATCATGTCTTGTTAAGACTGAACATGATTTCCTTGCATCAACCAGCAGTAGATATGCTGGGTATACATACAATCACACTCTTTCCCCCCTTTTTTCCCTTTTCTTTATATACTTAAAATTACAAGAACTGATGGAGACTACTCTCACAATATAACATTACATCTAACTAGACTAAAATTATTTCTCAATGGACGATACATTATTCCACCTACCACTTCATTGACTTTGTCATTCAGCTTTTCCTCAGGTGATATATCCATGGTGGGAAGGGATGGTACATTGTTTGGTAGTGGTGGTCTGGTAACCACTGGGGCAGGTGGTTGTCTAGTTACTGCTGGTACAGGTGCTTGCTGGGTAGTCACAGAAGCAGGTGGTGTCCTATTTAATGCTTGAACAGGTGCTTGCTGGGTAGCCACAGGAGCAGGTGGTGTCCTATTTAATGCTTGAACAGGTGCTTGCTGGGTAGCCACAGGAGCAGGTGGTGTTCTATTTAATGCTTCAACATGTGCTTGCTGGGTAGCCACAGGAGCAGGTGGTGTCCTATTTAATGCTTGAACAGGTGCTTGCTGGGTAGCCACAGGAGCTGGTGTTGTCCTATTTACTGCTGGTACAGGTGCTCGTTGGGTAGCCACAGGAGCTGGTGGTGTCCTATTAACTGCTGGTACAGGTCCTCGTTGGGTAACCACAGGAGCTGGTGGTGTCCTATTTACTGCTGGTACAGGTGCTCGTTGGGTAACCACAGGAGCAGGTGGTGTTCTGTTTACTGCTTGAACAGGTGCTTGTTTGGTAGCTACAGGAGCAGGTGTTGGTCTGGTAACCATAGAAACAGGTTTTGGTTGGGTCACCACAGGAACATGTGGTTGTCTACTTCCTGGTGGAATAGGTGTTGGTCTGGTAACAGTCGTAGCAGTAGGTGATCTGTTCTTGAAAACAGCTGCTATCAGGTCTCGCATGCCCTTCATATCCACCTGATTTTTAGGTATAAAATGGGTATTGACCCTGTTTTGGGTTACTGCTTGAGCAGGTGCAACAACTATTGGTGGTGAATCGGGTACAACAATAGGTTTGTTTTTATTAACTTTCACTTCAAACACATCAGGAGAACCTTGTTCAGTGGTGATGTCTACAACTTCAGGATAGGCCTCCACATTGATTACTGGTGTGTCTGTCTGTGACCCCTCAGAAGACTGAGAGCTATGTGTGATATCTACTACATCTACCTCTGCAGCTCTACCACCCATAATGATGATGTCATTACCCTCTGACCCTTCTTTTGACTTCTTCTTTGACCTATCAGGTACTTTAGATTTTCCCTTTGACCTTTCAACTGTTTTAACCTTTGACCTGTCCCCTCCTGCCTCGCTGTCAGTAACAGCCTGTGTTACTGTATCATCTTTAAGCCTCCTGGACGTCAGGAAGTCCATCCTAGGTAGATCTTCATCTTCCTCCTCCTCTTTATCTGCTGTATAACTGTCATATCTGTCAATTATATGTTCTGTATGAAAATCTTTGATTTACAAACAATTAGATTAACAGATTTTTTCAACTTTGAATCTTATGAAATGAAAAATTCTTCTAGAAGTAAACAAGACAACAAAGTATGACCTCTAAAATTTTATCTACTGGTTTATGTATGCTGCTATATCTCTCATCAAATGAATGATCTGATGATTTGCACCTTAAGATTAACATCCATACAAGATTGGTCCAGGTTATAATAATAGATACTTGAGAAAGGATGTGCTTCTATTTAAACTTAAAGAGTTTAGTAATCCAGAAAATGTTCAACAGATGCAGTATCAGAAGCAGGTCTGGTTATGTTCACTGATCATCATGAATCATTCATTTCTAATTTGGTCAGGGTAGGTGCATAGGGCTTTCAAGTACTTAGGAATGGGCCTGGTTCTAAAGCTTTAACTGGTCACTCAGTCAAGTCAAGAGGTCCCAGGGTCACAATACTCACCTCTAATCACTTAGGTACTACTGTTCTTAAGAAAATTGTTTTTTGAAGAAGTTATCTTACTATGAAATTTTTTTAATTATTTACAGTTGAACGTTAGCTCAATTTAGCTTATATCTCAGGTGAACTATGTGAACATAAACATTTTTTTTACCTATCTAAACTGAGGTCACTAATCATCCCTGAAAGCAAAGCAGTTTTTCAACTCAATTAAACTTAAAAACAAAGATAATATCTACAGAGTTATCTAAAGATGATGACCATGACTCTCACCTGCTATTTTGCTTACGGGCTTTAGAGCTGGTTCCTTCATTGGACATCTTTGCATCTTTTACAGCAGCCCGTTGTTTGTTCTTAAGTTCTCTAGGCACTGTGCTCTGTGCATGAATTCCCCCGAGTGACTTCCTCCTCTCGTTTTCAATCTTTCCCATAACTTCTCCAGACTTGCTTAAAATCTTTCGTCTGTATGACTGTTCATCGTCCAATGAGCCAGCATCTGTTTGGACATCAACATACTTCCAGTTGTCTAGACCGGCTGGTGGGAGGGGTCTGGTCAAACTTGTGGCTGCAGATTTCTGAACATCCTCTTTACTAATTATTAACTTTGTGGGGGCCACTGACGAGACTTTATAATTAGCAATAACATATCCTCCTCCTGGAGAGGGAATTTTTATAGTTCTAGTAGCAAGTTCAGACTTTGAACTTTCGGAAACAATGTCCTTTGTCCTCATTTGATTATTTGATGATAAATTTGCAGTAGATTTTGGTGAAAAATGTGCTGGCTTTATTATGTTATTGTTTGTAAAAACTATTGCTTTGTTCTTCAAAGCAAGTTTAAAATCAATTCCTGCTGAAAAAAGAAGTTTGATATGAATACTCTTGGTCATATTTTAACATTTCTTATCATTCAGAAATGCATTGATTCTTTTGTGCTGCTCTTAAATCTAATATGTTCTTTTATCTAGCCATCATTTAACTTTTTCTATCTCCCTATATATTTTTATTAGAAGATTACAAAAGTAATTTTAATGCTTTAAAATTTTTCCTTTCTCATTCAGAAAGGTTAGCAAAAACATTGTATGTTAAACACTAAAATATGTACTTATTTTAACCATATATTATCATGTAATTACATAGTTGGACATATTATGTTTACAGTAACAGGTTTGCACTTACCATCATTAAATCCATGTACAAGGCTCTTACTAGGAGAAAATGTTGCTGGTTTGATAATGCTGGCTTTTTTAATGTCAACAGATGAGGAAGTGCTGGCCTTATTGGGGGAAAACACAGCAGGTTTGATGACTGTGCCTTTTTTCAGTCCACTAGCCATTGAACCATCAGTGGATTTGGTAGGAGAGAATGTGGCTGGCTTTATCAAAGTCCCTGCCTTGTTTAGAGTTTTATTCAAAGAAAAAACTGGCTGCGAGGGTTCTGAATTAAATCTGGTTCTCTGTCCTTCAATACCAGCTTTGAGTCTTTCAGCAGAGTGAGAATACGGTTTGTTTACCAGAAAACCCGGGGATCTGTTTAATTTTCTTTTGTACAGTTTGAGTGGTGAAGATAGGGATGGAGTTTTCAAAGTTTGTGATGAGGGAGTAGGACTTAAATGACCTCCAGCTGCTGAAGAGCTCTTTGTATCCAGACAGGGGTCTGGCAGGGAGTCATTGGAACTCTCCTCAGAATCTAATACCTCTTTTCTGAATGTCTGATATGATGGCTTTTTCTGCTCAATACTTCTACTAAAACCACTGGATGAAGGCACTGATCCTTTGGGATTTCCAGCAAGTTCTTTTGTACCTTGTGCAGACTGATTACTAGTTTTATATGGTTTCCTTGTTGCATCAGATAATTTATTTAAGGAAATAATTTCTTCTTTTTCTACCTTCTCTGCAGCTTTAACAAGTGTTTCATCTGAAATCATACAACTTGTCACTGAAATCATGAACTGTTTAAACAACAGAAGACACTTCAATGAAAATCTACAATTAAATTTGTTGATACACACAGATGTACTGTAAACCAACTTTTATTTGTGTGCAAGAAATTTCAGCAAGTTCTGCAACCCTCTCTTACTCGCATTAATTCATGCTGAAAACCACTTACCAGTATTTCACTGTGTATAATTATGTGAAATGATTTTTCAGTCATGAAAACAAGTTGTCACGCATAGATTTCAAACTGACAAATCATGAATAAATGTTGATTCAAATAAAAATGGAATTTAAGTAACAACCATTTATGTGTAATAGCTTTCTCCATTTATATCTCAATTAATGAAACTGTACATTCTTTTAAATTTATAAAACTACAAAGTCAATTTAAAATGCTTGCCTTCAGATGATGGGTTTTGCGTGTTCTTGGGTTCTGCAGAGGCCAGAGAAAATGTGCGGAGGGAAAGGAGATCATCTATACAGCTGAGGAAGATGGACTGCACAGATCCAGGGTCTGTGTTGTTACTGGGATGTCTGATGCTAATCAAAATCACCTCGTCTGTCAAATTTGGGAAGATTGGTCGCAACTGCTCTAGTAAAGTATCCTCCATTATCAATTCTTGAAGTAGTTTTCTGAAATATTTATGTAAAAATACACAGTTTTGGTCTTTGCTTGGAATTGACAAAGGTAAGAACGGTCTGAACCAGTCAATGCCCCCTTCTATTTAACAAGAGGCCAATGGCCTTAATGGTCATCTGAGTATTACACTGTTAAGGATCAACTGTAAAGGATCAATTAAATGACATTTTAATGATTGGATAAAAAACAATATAACAAACAGAGATGAATATTTTTCTCAAACAAAGAAGTCTAAAATGTGAAAAGTTTACAGACAGACGGACCCTGGACAAAATGTGGTCAGAAAAGCTACTTGAGCCTTCGGCACAGGTGAGCTAAAACTGCAAGAAAGTTACCAAACATGACAATGTTTAGGCAAAAGATCATTTTTATTCATGGTGTGTTTATTTCTTGAAAAAAATATCAAGCAGTAAAATTTCCCAATAAGTAACAAAATGTTAAATTCCCAATTCCAAGGGCCTAGGCCCCCATTTCCAAAATGAAACTTCCTGCAATATAAACAAGTTTCATTTTACATTTGCTGCATGTGAAAACATTATGATAGTTTATTTGGCCATTATTAGAAGTTTTAAATATTGTATCTTCATTCTCTTTCTGTCAATCGACGATATCCTCTCAAAATGTCGACACGCTCGAAATCACTCACTCGATATGAACAATCAGTAAAAGTGACAAAACCCGCCAAGCATGCCCAGTGACATTCCTCATGGGATAGCCCCATAAAACGGTACATGTATTTACCGTAATTTGCCGCATCTCAAAAACAAAATATTGTACACAAATTTTACCTATCTGCTATAGCTCAGTGTCAATAAGTCTTGAGATATTTTGGGTATCATATTTCATCTTTCATTTCTACCGCGTTTCCGAAAAATGGTGAAACAGATTTTAGATAACTCGTTCATTAATGAACATTATAGAATCTGATGAACGAATACAAACCGTCTAAAGATATTCCAAAAAAAGGTTTAAATAATAATAATAATAAAATCATAAACAGAATTCTACGACTTGCAGTCAAGTTTTAATGAAATAAAGTCCAAAAAATCATTCTCTACAGAATTTTATTTATGATATTTTCAGGCACATAGCATCGATTTTGAAAGTGGGGGGGCCAGCAACAGAATTTTTTTTTACTTACCTGAAAAAGTTGACAAGCAAAAAAAAAACAAACAAAACAAAACAAGAAGAATTGTAAAAATACACAGTTTTTCGTGGGGGGGGGGGGGGGTTAGAAGAGGCAAACTTTTTTTCACTACCAATTCCTTTCAATATCCATTTTTTAAGCTTAAATACTATATTTCCTTTATATTCCTTTAGTTCACTATAAAGTGGGGGGGGGGGGGCAAACAGCCTTTCAATGAACATTTTCAATAGTAAAAGTATTGTTGGCAAAAAAAAGTGCCCCCCCCCCCCCGTTGCTACGTCCCTGATTTTAAATCAACATGCTCAAAGTCAAAGTTGTACATATCTAAAGTACAAATATATACCCTTGTTTGGTTGTTTGAGTTTTGTTTGTTTGTTTTCAAAGTTCCTTATTATATCACACATCTAGCGGAAATTTTTCAAGGTATTTTCAAAAACGCGAATAAAAGCAAGAACTCACATTTTCTTGACTGATTAACTTTTTTATTTCCTAATGTAATATAATTTTAAAAATATTTTGTTTTTAAACTAGTTAGTTGGTTTCTTTATTTCGGCCGCTGCATTTCATTTCCGGAAATATGCATAGCATTTCCGACATTTTTTAATTTCATTTCCGACATTTTTTGTTTTCATTTCAGACACAATTATTTTTTCATTTCTGGAATTTACCTGTGCGGCAATTGAATGTTTTCTTAGTAAAAGAAAATGGAATTTCAAAAGTACAGTGAAAACTGTCTAATCCGACACCTGAATAATCCGATACCCTGTGAATTCCGACATCAAATTTCTTTCCCATTTTTGCATTTTCTTTGTTTCTTACACTGTGCAATCCGACACCCTGTCTATTCCGACACAAAATCTGTCTCCCAGTGCATGTCGGATTAGACAGGTTTCACTGTATTTATACCAAAATATTAATATTTAAAAAAAAAAAAAAAAAAAAAGCTTTACATATATGCATACATGTAGCACTAAGTCTAGGTAAAAGAGTTCAGTGAGCATAAAACTTTTTCACCACATTAATTAAATGTCATTGACAGCACCATACTTATGTCCAAGTCACTGATAGATTTACAAAATTGGATTTCAATGATTTATTTATGATTTATTCCTTAAAATTTGTCATAAGTAAAATTATCAGATCTGTTACTATAGGTTCTACATATGTATTTTGAAAATGTCGGAAATGAAAACAAAAAAATGTCGGAAATGAAAGCTAAAAAATGTCGGAAATGAAAAGTTGATAATTACCAAAAATTCCGGAAATGAAATGCAGCCATTTCGGCTTACCTTTTGAATGAAGGAATCTATAGTTTCTCTTCATTTGTACCAAAGACGTGCTGTAAAATCATCTATTTTCGTTGGATTTAATTTTACAGTGCGAGGACAAAATATGGGTATGCATGGTATGTGGAGATTGATTTCGTGGATGAAGAATGTTGCGTCGAATTAAATATCATGCCAAACATTGATTTCTTGATTTCTGCATACCTCGAATTGAAGAAAACTTTAACCCCTCGGAAGTTGGTGATTTTACAGTAAACACATGACAGACACTTGAATGGATGGGGTACCCCCCCCGGGCTTCTGAGAATGTTTATTTGACACAAAACCTATCAAAGATACATAAATCCTAAGTTTATTGTACCCATATTTCAATGTCTGATACTATTTTTTGCTTTTGTAAGTTTTATAGAAATTTGGTCCTTTACAGAATTAAAATAATATTCTTATACGCACAGGTAAAGGTAAAGTTGGGAAAAAAGTGGGGGGGGGGGGGGCCCCCCCCCCCCCCCCCCCCCCCCCCCCCCCCCCTCCGGTTGCTACGTGCCTGGTGTGTACAAATTTGAAGACAATACAAAAATTTAAAAACACATACAATTTACTGACAATGGAGATTTCTATTCATGACGTTGTTATAAATCTAGCACAGAGTCAGAGTGGGCTGTGCAGTTTGTTTATACATGTATTTAGATGACGCTCGTAAATTTCTGTGCATTGTTCAGAATTTTAAAAATTAAATAAATTATTATCTATACTTAAAGATTACTGCAAGCACTTGGAAGTGCGCTGCGCCTTAAAAAAGAAATGAAGTGTGTGTCCATGAACATGTTAAGTCAAAATCCAAATGTTTAACGTTATAATGAAATTAGCTTAACATCAGACTGGTCCGTGCGCACAATCTGCGTTCTTAAAAGACCCCAATTTTTACAAAAATATTAAGTTTCATCAATAAAAAATAAATCATTCTGACTTGTTTTTCATAAGAAATATTTTGATATACAATAGATGCATATAAAACCACTTATTTTAACAAAAATGTCATTGTCCACAAACTTTTTGGACAACCCTCGCATTTGTCTTACATAAGCTTCAAAAAGTGGCCAGGAGGATAAATTTAATAATATCATAAAATGCATGTCTTTATACATATCCTTAGTTATTAAGCACCTCCTGTCAACTGACTTTTACTCAATGCAAAAACTTCCAGTTTGAATCTGTCTTTTATTTAAAACTAATTTTACATAAAAAAAAGTTTTAATTTGAAATTCCTTTAATTATGGCACAATTGTCACAACAATGTTCCAAAGACCTCAAGATGTTGAAAATAAAAATCTGTCAACAGATAAGACCTTGATTAATAATAAAGTCCTGTAAGCTGAAATACAGTACAACAAAACCAAGCTATGTATTGCTGAGTTGTGATTTAGCTTTCTCTACAATGTCTGATATCTTCTTTATCTTGGGCTCCACAAACACCTTTAACCATTCTTCCACTGCGTTGTTATAAAACACCTCTCTCAGGGCTCCCTCTATCTGGGGGTGGATTTTTGTCAGGCTTTCTAAGATTCTGAAATATTATACTTATATTAAAATATCAGTGCAGTAGAAAGATGTGTTTAGTTGTTCATGCATTGATTTAGTAGTAAAAGAAAAATAAAATGGCAGTATGTAACCTACAGAGAGGACTGGGCTAGAATGGGTTCTATGTGGACTGGATTGGAGAACTTCCTCTCTATCATGTAATCATTCATCCATGTCATCACTCTAAATAAAATAATAAAGGAAACGCTCATATGCTAAATAAAATAAACGGAAAATGGTAAAGATAAAAAAATATAAATAGATGAGCAAATGCTGTAAATATGATTAAATCAATGAGAATCGTAGATTTTAAGCTCACTTGAGCCAAAGGCTCAGGGGCTAGCTAGTTATTGCTGTTTATCAACATTTTATCTCCTGACAAAATTACAGGCCCATGGGCCACATTGCTCACCCGAGTAATTTTGGCCATGCTGTTCTTTACCAGATTTCCACCTTGTGACCCCGCCCTACCCCCAGGGGTTATGATTTAATCAATTTATAATCTACACTACCCCAGGATGCTTCCACGTAAGTTTCAGCTTTTCTGGCCCAGTGGCTCTTGAGAAGATTTTTAAATATTTTTCCTACATATTAGTATTTCAATGTAAAACTTGGATTCCCTGTTGTAGCCCGCCTAACATCTGGGGGTCATGATTTTAATAATTTAAAATCTACACTACCCAAGGATGCTTCCACACGAGTTTCAGCTTTTCTGGCCCAGTGGTTCTTGAGAAGAAGTTTTTTGAATGACCCCACCCTATTTTTGTCTTTACTTGATTGTCTCCCTTTGGATGGGGATTTAATTGTTGCTTACCTTTCATCGTGTACTAATTCTTCATAAGTTGCATCAAGCTGTAGAAATGCTAGCATGGCACAGTAAATTTCACTCCCTGGAAATTGACAAGGTGGTATAGGGCCCCTAAATATATGTCATAAATACAGCTTTATCTATATGTTTATTTCATACAAAATATATATAAGTAAGACTATAAAAATCAATAAATTAATTGGGACTTAAAAAGTTTCAATATTTAATAATTGTTAGAGTAATTAGAAGAATTTTGTTTCAAGTTCAGAATTTAATAAGCTAATTCTTTTAATTATATTAATATCTAGATTTCGGGAATGTCCATTTTATGTTGCCTACCTCTGATATGGGTTGAGCGGTAGAAGAGACACAAAGTTTAAGTCTCGTGACACAGTTGCATGGATCTCAGCAGAAAATATACCTACCAAAAGAAATTGAGAGAACTAGGCTTTTTTTTCAAGATATTATTTCAGAATTCATTGTTGTATAAATATAGTTGTAAAACACCTGGTACGGATATGTCATTCACAGCTACAAGAGTGAAAATGTTTGAAATTTTGTACGAATTAAATCAATACGTATAAACTAATTCAAATATTCTTTATATCTTAAAACTCATTATTTGAGCATTATTATAATATATCAATATCATAAGTAAACAACCCCAGTCCCAAAATAATTTAGTTACAAGAAAAATCAATTGGCATTTACTTTTTTAACTCTAAATCTAAAATGTGGAAAATAATGGGAAGAACAAGAGTCAAAAATGTGCGATGTTTATGACGTCAATTCATTGTTTTACAAATACCGCATTTGCACCCAAAGTCTCATGACCGATCACATATGGCCTTCTAGGTGAGCATACTCAGGAGATTAAACATCATCAGAAGTAGAGCCTTTCTAAGGATTTTAATGAGTATGCTCGGAGGAGTCAACAGCCTCACAATTTTTAAGCCTTTTCAAATGATTCCCTTTTTTCTGACTGAAGAGAAATTGTATCTTCACAAGTATACTCACCCTGTTGGAGGGTTAACAGACACACCCCTAGTGATGGCAGAGCTTGTGGGAGGAGCTCACAGAGTACAGCATAATGATCATACCTAAAACACAACCACTCAGATCAAAACCTACAGCATAATGATCATACCTAAAACATAACCACTCAAATCAATATTTACAGCATAATGATCATACCTAAAACATAACCACTCACATCAAAACCTACAGCATAATGATCATACCTAAAACACAACCACTCAAATCAATATTTACAGCATAATGACCATACCTAAAACATAACCACTCACATCAAACCTACAGTATAATGATCATACCTAAAACATAACCACTCACATTAAAACCTACAGCATAATTATCATACCTAAAACATACCCACATGTACAATGTATAGTACTGCATAATGGTCATACCTAAAACACACCCACTCATCAAAATACACATGTACAGCATAATGATCATACCTCAAACACACCCACTCATCAAAATATACATGTACAGCATAATGATCATACCTAAAACATATCTCCATTCAAATTTACTTATACCAGTATATATATAAATCATAGATAAAAGCCAACCTTTGCCATCCAGTAAGTGCACAACCTTGAACTTTTTTGAACTTTGACCTCTCCTTTGCCATGACATTGAGCCACATGGTATGATTATCTACATGGTAAGCAATGTTCGTAGCATACACATTTGCCCCTGTAGCACCTTTGAATGCACTTGCTATCCAAATATTGGGGAAAACTTTAGAGTATTTGTCCCATATATCTACAATTTGAAATAAATCATTGCTTCATCAAGTTCTTATTAACTCTTAGATTTTATGAATTACACAAAATACTTTAAATAATATGTATTACCTGGTGGGAGTCTAAATGATGTTAGATAGTGCCAAACCATTGGTTCTACTAAATCTCCAAGACTAGAATCTATATCAAAACATTGGTAAACGTAGTGAAAAAAAAAATTATTATAATTACCAATATCTGCAGAAAAAAATGAATTAAAAATTTGTTTAGTTTGAATTACAGAAAACGTTAAATAAATTTTAAGTAAATTCATGAAAAAAAACTCTTTATATCATTTATATCCAAATAATGAAATCATAGATTTGAAATGTTCCTGTTTGACTAATTCAATTCAATGGCTACCCGAGTTTAATAGCAAACACTTATCTCCCCCCACCTCCAGTGCTTTGATACTACATCCCTATTTAAAACTACAATTCATCTTTATCTCATCAAATGAATATGATCTTTAAGATATGTTTGAATAGATAACAAAAAAATGGGATGAAAATTTCCTAACATAAACTATTAAAGCCATACTGAAGCAAACCATGCACCCTGGAAAAAAAGAATAAATACTGATAAGGAGAGGTAACTCTGTATGTCTCAGCATGTCATCCCACATAATACAGCTGATATTGGGATAGTTCTCCTTAATGTGATCTAGAACAGCCTTAATATGAAGTAAAAACAGTTGCTGGGGTGTTAGGTTCTCCTCTAACATTCTGATTTTACATCGCTCGCAAACTCCTAAATGATACACCTGGAATTAAAAAAACTAAATCAAATCAATTTCTTTATATCAGTGTTTATTTAACTTTCTTTATTAAAATAAACTTTTAATTACATTTCTAAAAATAAAAGAGTATGCAAAAAATATAATAATACTATTTTGACACTTAATGTGTTTACAAACTTATTCACATGTGTATTTCCTACATGTATCAGTTTCCTGCACAATCTATGGCACCTACCCTGGCAGCCTCATCAATTGCAATCATGCCATGGCACCAAATGTAACAGATAATGCTACGAACCAAACCAAAATTTGACTCAAGACCCCTTTTAACTCTGGCCAAGGGTCTTCTAAACTAAAGGTAGTTCGAGCAAGCCTTTATTCACTGCATATTTTTTTAAGTGCTGTTTATTTTTGACCAGTTATTGATAACACTCAGATTATACAATTATTCTTTGTGAGAAGTGTGAACCAATGCTTCCATATTTAAACAAATATGGAATGGGCGTGACTTTTATTTTACATGTACTCATCCTGTTAGTAGCCTTGAACTTGTCCCCAAAATTATCTAGGGTCAAGCAACCTTAGCATCAAGTATAATCTTCCAATGTTCATATGTTTCTCCATTACTTTATAGACATTCTATTGAACATACCTCTCTGCCACATATAATCACATTTAAATTTCTTTTGCAAAGGATCTATACAAGATTTTTAAATTTCCATACTCATTATTATCTTTTATTACTTCAATTACTATATCCAAATTATTTTTCTCTTGAAAGGTGCATGGTCGCACAAGAAAACAAACTTGGACCCCTATGAATAATTTAAGTGAAATTTGGTTAAAAAGCCTATTGATAAATCAGTTTTACCTCATCTGCCCCAATGTGAAAAGATCGTATCCCAGGATGCAATTCTATAACCTGATCAATCATCATACACACAGCCAGAAGTGAATCTACGACAAAATAAACAAGATCAATAAAAATTGTATTGGTAACTAGAACTGTCCAAACGGGACAAAATACCCCCGCTGGGTTTTTCAGAAGTAAGTTTTTCCATTATAAGATATGTATCATACATGAATTATGAAATTTTTCTTCCAGTGACCTTGAAGTTCCCCAAATGACCTTGGGTCAAGGTCATGACACACCCTTGGGTCATGGGCAAATCTTTGTGTGAAATGAGAACCTACCAAGTTTATCCATAAGAAAGATATGGACTGCACACAAATCATGAAATTTTTCTTCCAGTGACCTTGAAGTTCCCCAAATGACCTTGGGTCAAGGTCATGACAAACCCTTGGGTCATGGGCAATCTATGTGTGGAATGAGAACTTACCAAGTTTATCCATAAGAAAGATATGGACTAGACACAACTTATGATTTTTACTTCCAGTGACCTTGAAATTCCCCAAATGACCTTGGGTCAAGGTCATCACACACCCTAATGTCATGGGCAATCTTTGTATGAAATGAGAACCTACCAAATTTATCTATAAGAAAGATATGGACTGCACACAAATTATGATATTTTTCTTCCAGTGACCTTGAAGTTCCCCAAATGACCTTGGGTTAAGGTCTTGACACACCCTTAGGTCATGGGCAATCTTTGCATGAAATGAGAACCTACCAAGTTTATCCATAAGAAAGATATGGACATGACACGAATTATGAAATTTTTCTTCCAGTGACCTTTTTTTGAAGTTCCCCAAATGACCTTGGGTCAAGGTCATGACACACCCTTTGGTCATGGGCAATCTTTGCATGAAATGAGAACCTACCAAGTTTATCCTTAAACAAGATTTGTGTGAAATGAGAACCTAAGATATGGACCGCACACAAATCATGAAATTTTTCTTCCAGTGACCTTGAAGTTCCCCAAATGACCTTGGGTCAAGGTCATGACAAACCCTTGGGTCATGGGCAATCTATGTGTGAAATGAGAACCTACAAGTTTATCCATAAGAAAGATATGGACCAGACACAACTTATGATTTTTACTTCCAGTGACCTTGAAGTTCCCCAAATGACCTTGGGTCAAGGTCATCACACACCATAATGTCATGGGCAAACTTTGTATGAAATGAGAACCTACCAAATTTATCCATAAGAAAGATATGGACTGCACACAAATTATGATATTTTTCTTCCAGTGACCTTGAAGTTCCCCAAATGACCTTGGGTTAAGGTCTTGACACACCCTTAGGTCATTGAAATGAGAACCTACCAAGTTTATCCATAAGAAAGATATGGACAGGACACGAATTATGAAATTTTTCTTCCAGTGACCTTTTTTTGAAGTTCCCCAAATGATCTTGGGTCAAGGTCATGACACACCTTTTGGTCATGGGCAATCTTTGCATGAAATGAGAACCTACCAAGTTTATCCTTAAACAAGATGTGTTTGTGAACCACTATGCGCCCGGCGGGAACAAAGTTAAAAAAAACTATTTTTTGCAGATAAGTCACAGTCAAGGTCACAAGGTCATCGACCTTGGTGTCATTTGAAAGAATTTTATTAGTGAAGTATGCATACCAAATATGAAGTATCTATCTCTCATGGTTCAAAAGTTATGGCGAAAAGTCTAAAAAGCTATTTTTAGCATATAGGTCACAGTCAAGGTCACAAGGTCATGACTCTGATGTCATTTGAAAGAGCTTGATTAGTGGGGTATGCATATCAATTAGGAGGTCTCTACCTCTCATGGTTCAAACGTTATGGTGAAAGTTCCAAAAAGCTATTTTTAGCATATAGGTCACAGTCAAGGTCACAAGGTCATTGACCTTGGTGCCATTTGAAAGAGCTTCATTGGTGGAGTATGCATACTAAATATGAAGTCTCTATCTCTCATGGTTTAAAAGTTATGGCGAAGGTTAAAGTTGACAACAGACAGACAGACAAACAGATAAACAGACAAACAGATAAACAGACAAACAGACAGGACAAAAACAATATACGCCTCGGATCTATCGATCCGGGCGCATAAAAAAGATGAGGACCAGACACGAATTATGAAATTTTTCTTCCAGTGACCTTGAACTTCCCCAAATGACCTTAGGTCAAGGTCACGACACACCCTTGGGTCATGGGCAATCTTTGTGTGAAATGAGAACCTACCAAGTTTATCCTTAAAAAAGATGTGGACCAGACACGAATTATGAAATTTTTTCTTCCAATGACCTTGAACTTCCCCACATGACCTTGGGTCAAGGTCACGACACACCCTTGGGTCATGGGCAATCTTAGTGTGAAATGAGAACCTACCAAGTTTATCCACAAGAAAGATACGGACCGGACACGAATTATGAAATTTTTCTTCCAGTGACCTTGAAGTTTCCCAAATGACCTTGGGTCAAGGTCATGACACACCCTTAGGTAATGGGCAATCTTTGTGTGGAGTAGTAGATTCTAATGTCCCTTCATAAGAAAGATATGGACCGGACACATTTGCACAGACAGATGGACAGACAGACAGCTAGACAGACAGACAGACGGACAGACGGACAATTACCCCCCCAAACTGTAAAATATTAAAATTATTACTATAATATGTAGATGCTTATCTTAGAAATAAGAAATACCTGAATTTGAGGGACAAAGAGCCATTGGGTAGTTTGGAACTTCTCTCAGTGATCTAAACTTCTCAAGTTTTAATACAAACTGAAGAGAATGTTATAACAATGCAAGTAAATATTTTTTTTCCAGAATCAATGAAAGAAACATGAAAAGTTAAAATATGTTTGATGGCATACATTTAAGTAAAGTCAATTAAGAATCAAACCTCAAAATGACCAATGGACTGGACTAGAGGTATAACAGAGAGACCATTGTCCTCTGCCAGTTGTAAAATGCTTGCTATGCACTCTTTGCTACAATGAAAAATGATAAAATTATTGTTCATGTGGATAAACTTGTCAAAGCGTGTTATTGAATAAATTACCCAAATTTTTCCCAATTTCATAAATGTTCCTGGCATACACAACAAACTATATAGCGATTCCTTATACAATATTTATAATCAAATGTGAAAAGGAGAGTTTGCTACTACTGTAAAATCACATATTTTCCAGGGGTCAAATTTTCGTGGTTTGAGAAAAATATTTTGGTTCATGGGGATTGAAAGAGTTGTCCAGGTTGAAAAATTAATGACATAAATTCATGGGTCTCTTCATACCTTGAAAGCCACGAAAATTAGTGATTTCACAGTACTACCAATAGTTATGAAATACAAAGGTATTCCAGGTTAAATTAATGTTCTAGTCCCCAGTCACTGACACCAGACAAAATGACAGCCATAAGGCACTTGACCTTTCACTGAAGGAAATTTAGGTCACAGATGGAGAAATATCAGGTCTCAAATTGGACTTTAACCCAGGAGCACTGGATTACCCTGCCAGCACTCAGCTACTGAGACCCTAAATATCAACTGATCTTCACACATTTGTGGACTTGTAGACATATCCCCTCTTCTTATAAAAAATTTTTGTCCAATTCTAAAGCTCTTCTGCATATTCTAGGGGAATAGTGGGTTTTGTAACGTGGGTGCCAAATGTCACAGATGGTGAAAAATCAAGTCTCAACAGGGACTCAAACCAAGGACCTCTAGTATACCATGCCAAGGCTCTAACCACTGAACTATTGAGACCATATATATTGACTGGTTTTCACACACCTGTGAACCCAGTGACATTAATTTTTATATTCAGTTGTATAAATTGAGCAATCAACATTCTTAGCTTTTAAGGGTTATCACAGGAAATACAGTAGTTGGAAATATGAAAATATAAGAATCAAACCTGTAGGCAAATTCTGAGGCAATATCAGTGATATCTCCCCAATATGGAAACATGTCTTCATATTCTATCAGGAGACCAGTGGCACCCCATTTCTTCATTAGAGGGAAAATCTGAAAGTCATTTTATAATGACAATGATGGACTAAGTACTCAAAGGTCTTGAAAATGCTGTAAACAGATAATGACATTTCATTGTGGAATCAATGAAAATTTACATTTACTACAATCAAATTTTTATTGCAAACTCTGTGTTTTTCTTTTTTGTCAAAAAGTTGTTTTGGCATGTACTGGTATTAAAATCAAAAGTTTTAGTCCAGTTATGCTATGAAATATGATTCAAAATTAATACATTAAATAGTATTGTCATTGTGATTAACTAAATTGGTCTTAATACCTTCTCAAAATATGTTACTTTTGGTGGTGCTCCTTTCAGATCCAGATGCACAAGTCTAAAAAAAAATGTTAAAATACATGCATATTTAAGATAGAACTAGTTTTTCATGAAGGACGACTTACAGTAAACATACATAAATTAGTGCACTAAAAAATAAACAGTAATCTTTAATATGATTTTTTTTCAAATTAGGAAATTGCAGCAATTTTTCTCTCCCGATCAGGAAGGCGGGATGAAAGGTTAAAATTGGGAGGATGATCCCGACTAAATCGGGAAAGTTGGCATGTAGGATGTGTAACAAATAATACAAGTACTCAGAACAGAGTCTGGCTAGGGGAAAAAAACATTGTTTCAATATGCCTTCCCAAGCTTTATCAATAAGGGAACACAGACCAAAATGCTCTGTAACATTCCATGGAACTGTGGCAGTCAACTGGGTTTGATCACCGGTTGCCAGATAGCTCAGTACGTAGAGCACCTTACCGGAGTTTCAGGGGGCCTGGGTTTGAATCCCACTCTGGTCCAATGCATTTTCTCCTCTTTCATTACATTTGATGCTGTGCCATACCCAGGAACTGACAGGTGAGAGGCCTGCCAAGGATGAGCCTGGGATGGGGTCTTTGGAGGGCTAAAGGCCTTTAATTAACCCTTATCCTGCTAATCGCGACTCTGAGTCGCGCTGGCTTATCTGATCTGCTGCTGCGGATCGCGACCTCAGGTCGTTTTGAGGGGTTTCCTCATCTGATGCTTGTTTCCCTGCTATTTTTAGCAGAGCATCCCATGTCAATGAATGAAACAAGTATAAATATAAACCAATGGTTTAGAATTTGTAAAAATATACACCAATCAGAAAGAATCATGCACATAATCACCATCCAAAATAGATGGTACTCCAGGACAAAGAAATATTCCAAAATGGCTGACCTAAATATGCATGCTTTTAGTCTCCGGAGCTTTGTAAGAAAGGAAAGAAGTTTATACACTAAAAGGAATATAATTAAGCTACTATCTAAAGGTATAATAATGATATTTAATGTATCATTATAATTGATATTTATAGCATTTAAATAGTTATTCGGACTTATTATCCATTATCCATACTGTTCAATTTAAATCGAGGTAAATGCAATAAATTGTAGGAATATAGAAATAAAATTTATATGAATAAAAAGCTCTTTCTTTTCTTCATATTTATAACACAACTTATGTGTTGATTGCATCAAAGATAAGGATGCTATAAGCTGATAAGTAAAGGAAGTATGCATTCACTGCGATATCTGTTTACACTTAACTTTCGCCGCAGCAGTGGAACTGATAAGCCATAACTTTGACCGCAGGATAAGGGTTAAGGAGGGAGGAATGTGGCGGTCAGCTGGGTTCGATTGACGGTGGTCAGGTAGCTCAGTTGGTAGAGCACCTGATCGGAATTTCAGGGGGCCCTGGTTCAAATCCTGGTCTGGTCCATTGCACATTTTCTCCTCTCCCGTTACATTTGGTGCCGTGCCATACCCTGGAACTGACAGGTGAGAGGCCTGCCAGGGATGAGCCTGGGTTGGGGTTTTTAGAGGGCCAAAGGCCTTTAAGGAGGGGGGAATATGTCTGTCAGCCGGTTTCGATCGCAAGTGGTCAGATAGCTCAGTTAGTAGAGCACCTGACCGAATTTCTGGGGGTCCGGGTTCGAATCTTGGTATGATCCGCTGCATTAACTCCTCTCCCGTTACAAAACTATAGACTGAGAGTGAGAGTTAAATATATTTTGCTCTTGATTTGATTAATGCATTTCGCTATGATTCAGTAAATGCACTACAAAATCAGTTCACCTTTGTGTATCTTCCATTGTGTGTCTTCCTAACTTGTGTAGTGTTCTTCACGTCAACAAACCTGACGCAAAAAATCTAGATATTTAATAAACTTTACGAACATATAAGTAAGAAATAATAACAATGATACGGAAATGGACACATTACATTGGGAAAAAAGTACTGTCAGCATAAAATAGTGTTTCTGTGAAGTATATTATTTTTAAAAAGAAACCTATTCCACCTGACCTGTCCAACTACATCAAAACAACATTGAATTTTACGATTCAGTTTGATTTTTAAAAAAAAAAAAGAACGAAATCAAAAAATAAATATATTCAGAATATATTTGAAATGTAAGAAATTTATCAATTAAGATTCTAAAAATTAAAACTAGCTTTTGAATATAAATAAAGTTTACAAAATTATAATAATAACTAATATTTTCTCTTTTCGTTTTGTAATTTTATATCTTTGATTCTAAATATAAACAGTAATATTTGTAAACATACTGGGACAGATTAGAAATAATTTTACTCTGGTTGAAGTGGTTTGTACCCTTCATGTAACTTAGGACATGTTTGTAATTACATGTATATCAGCTTGTTCAGTATTTTTTATTTAGAATATTACATAAATTTGGTTAAAGCTGTCAATATTATTCAGTTACGTCAGAATGACCAAGAGCTAGGTCAACATAACAATAATGTGAGTGTTGGTAAAATGGGTAGGCAAACCCGGGCCGGGGCAAATTAAAAGCCGGGGCAGATCGAAGTTTTTCATATTTCCGTCTTCGTACTTTATCGATCGAGCTGAAATTTTCAGAATCTATTTAATACTTGATTATTTATATTCGCAGCTAAAATTGCCCTGAAATACTTTATATTGTAGATTTTATCGGCGATTATTGATTTTCAAGTTGGTAAAATGGGTAGGCAGTTTCCCAAGTTCACAATTTACGTTTTCAGATATATGCTGCATAAATTCCATAAAGTTATGAATAATTCTGGTGTTTAAGAATATATATTAACAATAAATAAATATTTCTGTATTGTTTATTGTAATATTTACATAAAATAACATGTTTTAAGAAAAACCGGGTCATTAAAACCGGATCCGATCACCCAGGACAAACCTGAAAATTCCGGAATAGTTGTACAGGTTACTTGAAAAGGAAAACGCCCAATTGATTTGTTGGAAGCTTGTATTTAATTTTTTAAATAGATAATTCTGTCACAGAGCAATCACCCAAGTTAATTAATTGTGAATGAGAGAGTTAGAATGTCTGATAGGTTGCAGGTGCGCGGCGCAGGCGTTGCAGCCCTGTTTCCCAAGAGTGTAATTTGAGTTAGTTAGAGAGAAAGCGAGTGGACAAGCATGGATTTATAATTTGTTTATTTGTCATTTCTGTTATCGTTGTTTATTGTGCGTGATAGAGTTCTGAGAGATGAAAGTGAGCACTAGATTGATTTGTGTGAGAAAGTGGGCCCTGGGAACATGAGTGAGAGAGAGGAGAACAAGTCTGAAAGTCAACGAGTGTGGATGTGTTTTTGTATTGTGAACAATTGTGATTTCTTCTATATATCTGTGTTGTAAATATGTAAATAAACGATGTAAATAAAAACTATAGTCATTAATTACCAGTGCCAATGACGGGGAGGACCCCCGTCACAATTCATTTAAAGAATATTTGCAGTTAACATAATTAATGCAAAATCCATACCACTGGCTTTAATTTAATCACACACAAGCTCTCTTGATCAATGTGGGCAATATACAAAATTGGCTTACCTTATTAGGTTAATTATCTTAGGAGAAGAAGCTGCCCAGGAAGAAAATTGTTGTGATGTAAAACTAATTAAAAGATCAAAGTGCTCTTATGAGGACACCTCCATGTGGTTAGAGCTGGGCAATGTCACAAAAGTGATAGCTAACATCCTCCAATACAGAAAATTGGTTTTAATTATTTCGGAATTTTCGGGTTTGCCCCGGGTGATCGTATCCGGTTTTAATGCCCCGGCTTTTCTGAAAATGCGCAAATTCTGCATACTTATAGCTTTTTTAATGTAAAACTAAATATATTTCGTTAATATAGATTGTAAAGTATTGGAAAAGTCCACAATTGTAATCGTTAAATGAGTCTTAATTCAAAAATACCGTAAAATGTCGTATTGATTTTGTCTACCCATTTTACCAACCTGGAAATGAACAATCGTCCAGAAAATCAGAAATATTGCGTATATTATGGCGATATTAAGAGCGAATACAACAAAACCTTATAGAAACATGATCTGAAAATTTCAGTTTAATTGATGGAGTATTAGCGGAGATATTTGAAAAACTTCGATCTGCCCCGGCTTTTAATTTGCCCCGGCCCGGGTTTGCCTACCCATTTTACCAACACTCCAATAATGTCAATATTCTGATATTGACTGAGTCACTGACTGCATGATAAATGAAAGTAATGAGAAAGTTCTAGCTGCTTTTCCCCCAACATCTAATTCCTAAACTACTAATTTCATGCTATCAACATGAATAATGAATCTAATAGTAATTTACTGAAAAAAGGGGGGGTGTCAGCAAATATTTAATCTGCCTGCTTTGATTTCAGGGTCTTACAATGGGAGGAGTAAAAGTAAAAGAGGAAACAACGTCTAAGTTAAAGCTGACCAAAGAGCCAAGTTTACAATCATTCAGTGTTGTCATTGGTTTGTATCATTTTGTAATAGAACGTACCTTTTTCCCAATTTGAAAGGAATATCTCATTTGACTATAATTTAGGGTGTCACTGCAGTGGCTGCATAATCAAGTGAGCTAGCTTGATGCATATTTTCACACAATTATAACAGTAGAGCTGCAGTAGCTCTCTAGTTGAGAAAATTAGGACAGGCAAACCAGAGAGAGCTTATCCAAGCATTGTAAAATCTTTCATTTACAGTGACGCTTTTTTGTCCCTTGCTTTGATCTGGTATTCTTTCTTTTATTTTATGCATTCCCCCACTTCAATCATGGTATGTGTTAATTAACCATATAATTTACTCCCATTCTGAATATGGTATTTACCTTTCAAGGTGTGTTATTCAAGTCAAACCCCAGCATACCAGCATGGATCCAGCTAGGATATTGGAATGTAATTTTTATAAAACTGAAATTCCAAGGCATAAAAAGGGTGCTCTTTGGATTTGTTAAAAAGTTAATGTAAGATGTGTAGATGACAAACAGAATTCAAGCTTAAGTCCATTAAACTGTGGCGGTTAGCTGAGTTCTATAGCCGATGGCCAGATAGTTTAGCCAGTAAAGCACCTGACTGTAGATTCAGAGGGCCCAGGTTTGAATCCTGGTCTGGTCTGCATTTTTCTCCCCTCCCCTTACAAAAGATTACATTCAAAATAGAAGCGGAGCACACTTTGACCTCCAAAACATCAGAGGTGGGATCAGGTGCCATGGAGGTGTGAGTATCCCTAATGTATCAATGTATCTAGAATAGAAGTATTTTAATATATAGAATTATATTTCAGAAAATCAAGGAAGTGCATATTTTACAAAAAGAATACTTCAGCGAGCCACATAAAATGTCCATGTAAATGGAAGGTTTTAGTTCTTGGATCAGTAGCTCTCTGGTTTGCCTGTCTAAATTTTCTCAACTAGAGAGCTACAGTTCTGCAGCTAGCATGTTTGATGATTTCTTAATTTTTCTTTAATGCAAATTTTAATTTTTTTTTCAGAAGTTTTGTAAGAAATTTAGTTTGTGTCTAAGTCTATTGTAATTTTTTTCTCAATATGTACAGCATACTTGCAACATTACCCCAATATTGAATTATTATGAAAAAAAAAAATCAAGTTATCAACAGAACTGCCATGTTAGGGAGGACCTCATCTTTGTACACTCACTTTATTTTAATTAGTTGTCTTTCTCCTTTTGCCTTGTAGCTTCTTTGTTGGAAGTAATATTATATTGTTGTTAAAAGGAAATGTTTGCACGATAGTATTAACACTGCCTACTTAAAATCTAATCCCCCACAGAGATGCTCTCAAATTTGCTAAGCTTTTACTTCAGATACATCCCGCCCTTTTACATGAGATGTCTCATCTTTATTTATAAACAATATGTCATAAAAATTTGAAGTAAATGATGAAGCATAGAGAAACTGAGGAAATTGACCTTATGTTTAATGAACTTAGGCTTGTGATAAAATTTTGTCAACCAAGAAGTAAATGCCATAGGTGCTTAAAATAGCTTAAGTACATGTTGGTTAAAAAAAAAAAGAAATATCTGTCAGAGTGCATTTTGTAAACACAAGGACAGGAATGAAAATCAATTATCTGTAAATGTGAACTCATAATAAATATGAGTGATATAATTGTGTTTTACTGTACAATTTTTTTTCTTCAAAATTTCCAGGAATAACTATTAATTCAAATCTTTCTCTTAACTGTTCATTTCTTCTTAAAATTACCTGATCAGATAACATACTAGGACCTGGCTACTAGTAACATTAAGGCAGCTTTTTGTAGATTTTATTCCATGTATTGTTTTTCAGCATTTATGGCCTGTGGTTATGGAGCTGCTATATACAGTGAAGGTAAGGGATCAAGAGTCAAGGAAGTCTGTTTATATGATTGATTGATTGTGTATTGTTTAACATCCCTCTCAAGAACTTTTCACTCATATGGAGATGCCACCACTTGCCATTGGAAAGCTGTAAATTTTGTCCTATGCTCGGTGCTTAGGGCCAGTGAGTAGTGAGGGAACTTTTTCATGCCAGCACCCCCTGCAACACGGGACTTCGGTTTATACGGTCTCATCCAAAGGACGGGTCTCCACGTCCCACAGTGGGATTCCACAGTGGGATTTGAACCGGTGACATAAGGATCAACTCCTTTCTTCGCTACTAGTCTGTTTATATATTGTAAATATAATTCACAATATGCTATGATATTGTATTTAATCAAGCATGAAACAGTAAAGAAGTAGAGGGCTTTTCTCATTTTCTTTTCCTACTACTTTTACATTGTATAAATTCAGTAGCATGTAAGGGGTGCATTGGTGTTCTCAGTATACTGTCTAGTAAAAGCATGAAAATTATAAAGAAAAGGGGCTGTTTAATTAATGATAATCAGTAATGTGATGTCACAAGTTTATATGAATATCATTTATGATTGAATTTAACCATATTTGTAGACCATTTTAGGGGAAATTTGATATTTCTAAAATAAAATACACACATAGGGAAAAGCAATATAATTGTTTACTATGATATCTTTCCTGTTATGTATTGTGTGTCCTGTTGGGTTGTTTACAGACTCGTCCCTGTGGAGGATGGTGTATGTTATTGGTGGTCTGTTTGTGGGACTAGCTTGTATTGAGGACTGGGAGGTAATGGTATACATTGATACAGCAAAGGAACAATAACTGAGTCACCTCAACAGTATCAGTAGTCTAATCTGATATTCCTCATTGTCATTTGTGTATCTTCATTGAATATGGTGACAATACAGGATCTCATTGATATTCTGTAACAAATCTTTACTTCGTACTATCATCAGAGTAGACAATGCCTGGCATGTTGAATTTCAACTATAATGTTTAAAATTTTTAATATTTTAATGAACACTATAATGCTTTGTTATTTAACTATACATGTAAATTCTAGAAAAGTAAATGCCCAGTAAAGTATATGTTTATCATGATTCATAAAATGCTGATGTTAAGATATATCAGTATGAGTTTTCACTACTGTTGTCAAATGCTTCATTCTGATTTGAGAAAATTTCTAATTTTTTTATCTCCTTAATACAGTATTGTGAGTTTGATCTGTCAACCAATGAACTTCACCAAACCCGATACACAGTTTATGACAAAATTCTACAGTTATTAACAACTAAAAATGAGCATATTGGTAAGATTTTTGTTTTCTTTGCAAGTATGCCAGTTTGTAATAGCATTAAAAGATTTTATTCAGAATTGATCTTTGACCTTAAAGTGTGTCATGACTTTGGGTCAAATTCTAATCATTAAAGTCAAGGTCATTAAGCAGTGTTGATATTGAAGCCAAACCCATGCCATAATTTTGAGACTATTGATTAAAATAAATTGCATGAAGAATATTGATACCCTTAACCTAATGGAGGAAGAAAATAGGTCAAGGTCATATTTTATAGGTTAAAGTCACCATTGAATAAGATACAGTGTAATATATTTTTCATTTCCTACAAATCTTTCAACTTTTTGAAACATACAAAAATTAATGGATTGATAGCCCAGGCATGTCTAAGGTACAAATTTAATTGCTACACCGTACCCAAGTTATATTGGTACTTTAGCAAATATCAAATCTTTCCTTATAATTTAATTTAATTTTAATAAGTAATTTTGATGTAGGCAACACAAGTAATGCACATTAAAATAATTTTTTATCCAATCAAATGATGTGTTACAAACAAAATTTAATTATACAATATATTGATAGCCAAGAAAAATATTGAATGTTGTGAGATATCAATTCTTATTTTCATATAAAAACATTACTACTCGTAAATACATTGTTCTGTTTTTGATTTGTAGTTGTAACAAGTCTGTCTGACATTGTTGATGTTGAAGTGGAAGAACAATATGTACGATACTTTGGCAATACATATCAAACTGTGATAGTTTATGACACAGGAATACGAATTGGAGTGACTGAGTCTTTCATTTATGGCAACAAAAAGTAAGTTTTTATTTTGCATTTTAATGACTTTAGGTGGGTTTTTTTTCTGTGTTTAGAGTCCATCCTAAAACCAAACGTCTATCTAATTGTGGGAAAAGCACACAAATAAAAAGAAAAAAAGACATTATAAAAAAAATTATAATTAGTAATCATCATTCAAGATTTTTACTTGAATAGTAACAAAGATTAATTTCTAGATTATTTACTTAAATTTTTTGGCACACTATTTTAAAATGCTAATTTATTTAGAGAATCTGTGTCCCCTGTTTAAGGTCAGATGACACGTTCCTCAAAAATATATTATTTTTCCCAAAAATTTGTCATTGAAATATAGATACTTTAACTTAAACAAGTTTCCTCACAAAAAATTAGGGTACCTTACCAGGCATTTGGACAAGATACCACAGGGTCATATTTCTTATATAACCCTTAGGGAAATTTCCTGAATGGCCTATATCACGATTTTTTGGTGCATTTATATTTAAAAACATTTTGAAAATAGTGTAGAAATCAGAAGAGAATGATGAATATGAATAATTTTTCATATAATATCAAGAGATACATGACATATATTTGAGGAACATGTTGACTGACCTTAAGGAAAAAATAAGAGTATATACATGAAACTAAGGGGTAAGGGGGCGAGGGGCACTTAAAGAAGGGTTGGCAGGGCAATAGGGTGTTATCACTGTAACAGTTATGGCAGTAATAAGGTATCAATAGTGTTTTACATTTTGCCTTGTGACATGGTTTATAAATTTAACATTCTTGATTCTTTTTTTAGAGACCAGGAAGCAATTGCAGAAAAAATAAAGACATTCCTAAAGCTTGATCAGCCAGTTGTGACTGAATCCTCGTCCAGTGGGGAGGAGGACTTTGAGCATGTGGACCCAGAGGAACTGACAGAGGACCAAGGGAGGCCACTCTGAAGGGAATAAATGGACACTCACTGAGTTCCTTAATCTGATGTCTTCTACTTAATAAATAACAAGGGGAAACATGTTATTTGATTTTTATTTCAAAACTTTGTGATATTATGTTTTTTTTCATTGTGTAGAGGAAGCAAGGATAAGGGAAATTACCACTAATGACAGGAAATTAATATAAATGGGGATTAATATGGCAATATTTGGTGAAATTTACTTCCTTTGTAAGGTGAAATTTTTTTGTCAACACTTTAGTTTTTGGGAGTTAACTAATTAGATTTTAATGTAAGTAATAATGATTTGTTCCTTTTCTGTAACATTGTTTAAAGATAGTAATTAATGTAAGGAGTTTTATACATGTAATATTGAAATGGATTTAGGGCATAAATGTGCCTTTTTATCAAACATATTTGAATAAATTGGTGATTGAAAGGGAGGAGGGGGGGTTACAAACTACAGTGGTATCTTGTGGCTTACGATTACAATTACAACCTTCTTTTGATAATATTAATTTGATAATATATATAGATTTTTTTTAATCAACCAGTATAATTAACATTAATATTTGTTGATCTAGTCGCATTAAAAGAGATTATTCTCAGGTTTCATTTCCTGTAGAGTTTTTATGCACTTTTATGTTTTGATTTAACATGAGGAAATCTCCTCTTCATAATAAAGTAATTCATGTGTTTACATGTACGATATTATCAGATTGTATATGTTAGAAAGTATCAGATAATGATTCACAGCTTTGCTATGGTAAGCACTTCACTGAAAACAGAGAAACTCCTCAAAAACAGGATAAGCAATTGAATATTTAACAATTCACTTATCTGTTACAGACTAGGAATTGTTTCACAAAATTGTAATACCTTGTACATGTAATAACATATCTCCACTACAAGCAGTATTTCTTATATTGTAGTGTTTTGTTTTACTTCTTCTTTTTTGTTTGTTTGTTTTTTTTTTTTTAGTTTTGTTTTTTGAGCTTTAAAATTTTTTTTCCTTTCAAAAGAAAAAAGATATTATAAAAATGTATTTGATTGGAAAATATTTCTTGTTGCAATGTAAATGAAAAATAATAATGTGTTCATGGGATTTTGATATCAACGTATAACATCTCTTTATGTATAAAACACATTTGCTACAAAAAAAAACCACTTATTTCATTAAAAGAAATGAACTTTTTTTTCATTCTAAAATTTGAATTTTCATTACCATTTTATTCTTGGAAGAAGAATGGGTGTAGATGAAAAAAAAAAATTACCATCAGTTCATGACAGCTATATGTTGACATTTTTTGATTGCATTTATAAGGCAGTTGTTGGTTCAAAATAGTTTTTTAATTTTACTTTATCAGTATTTTGATATCATTTAATGTCTTTGGTTTGTGTATAAATTACATGTAATTAATCAAAATAAAAACACGATTTTAAATTCAAATGGATTTCATCTTTAATGTTTTAAATGTATACTATGAGTCAAGCACATATTTAAAGCATCCGATTCATTTATTGTTAAAGTATCTCAGATTTCTTATTTTATGAATTTCTTGTAGAATATCTGTCAATATATAAATGCTTTACATACTTTTCAATTGAATAAACAACCATCAACAAAATTATTTCACTTGGTAGTTTTATGTTGAAGGTATTAGGGTATTTTTGGATTTTATCACTTTAATATGTCTAATATGATGTTTTCTTGATTTGGAACAAAACGAACAGTCTGTACTTTAGATCAGTGAAATCCATGTCAAGGCCATATCTTAAGATAAGTGAAATTAATGGTCATCCTAAGATTAGAAAAATTCATGGCAAGTCTACTGAATAGGAGTGCTTAGATAAGTTTATTCCAATTTTGGGATCAAGGAGAAATAAAATAGAAAAAAAAACAAATATATAGAAAAGAAAAAAAAATTCATGACAAGTCATTTTCCATGAATAGGATTTTATTTCTATAATCAAATACTGCAGTTTACCAAATTTCAGTTTGTTACAATTGGTACAATTGTGTGTGTGATCACATGTAATTCATATCCCACAGAGAAATAAATTTTATGAAAAAAAAAAAACAAATTTAATATATTTAAATAAAAAATACAAATACTTTTATTATTGGCACAAACACAATTACAATAAAAAAAAATCATTATATGGAAGAAAGTAATTGACTTCTAAGTTCAAAACAGTCTCTGATAAATTTAACAGTAACTTTCATATTTCCATGCCCATGCTAAAATTATTTTATATTTTATAAATATCAAATGTGTTTCTAAAGCAGAATTTTGAAAAAGAAAAAATTTCATCAATGACCTACAAACATTTTTTTTTTTAAATGTAATGGTGTGTGTGTGGGGTTTATGGGGAGGTCATATCTTTTTTTGAAAACATGTAATTCATATACTTTCCAAGAAATAGATCTATCAAAGCTTCAAATTTTATGAAACTAAGAAGAAATTATGAAGTTTTAGATTTTATTATTTTAAGTATTATACCATAAACAAAATTGGGTGTTCTTTTTTTATTTAATCCATCTTGATACAGAATAAAAATTAGTACCAAGTCTTAAGAGTGTATTTTACTGAGATTACATGTGCTTTCTTATGTGGTACATGTTTTTTAACACGTGATATATTTTTAACCCCCCCCCCCTTCCCTCCTGTCTTAATATTGAATCGGGTTCGAATTCATAGGATGATATAAACTTCCGGTTTCCGTACTTGGGCAGAATGAACAAAGCCTAACCACAACTTTTTTCTTTTTGTGAGTATTATAATTCAGTATGTTCATTACTTTCAATCCATTAGATTTTTCATGCTGATAAAAGTATATTATATATATACCCTGGCACGTTTTAAGCTTCTGATTGCAGAAAATTGCCCCAAGAATGGGCAAGATCATCGAATACGATCGGATCAATTTATAAAAAAAAATATCAGTGAGCATGTTACAGGCCCAAAGTAAAGAATAGAATTAGGTTCTCTACTTACGTAATAGTTGTTTTTCCAGTTTATTTCTTTTTCATAATACAAATCTAACACATAGTTTGTTTTTAACCACTGTTTTTTATAACCTTACCAACTTTATTCAGTATCTTAGAAATAAAATCAATGAATGTGTGCATTATAGTTTCTAACACACAGATCGAAATTGTCCAAGAATGTTTGCAGATTAAAAATATTTATGAGTAACTTACAAAGGAAAAAGTGGGATGTTATGTTATGCCAACAACTGGAGATAACTCTTAGAAATGTGAAATTTGTATATGTAGTAGGGATGTCAAATCAGTCAATTTTTAATACTCGGTTACTCGGACGTTTTTCCGATTGAGTACCCGGGTACTCGGTAAGAGTCTAAATAAATATGAACAAATTAATTGATAACTGTAAAACATTGTAAACTCTTTTAGAAATAAAACCACAGGGTCTGATGGGAGGTTTACCCGTAAATGTTTCTGTTGTAACAATTATGACCACTTTGTGCCAGACGAAAAGTTAAATTAATTTTTTTAAAGTTCAATTTATTTATCAGATAAATACGAGAAATGAAATCATAAATGGTTCACGGTTTTAAAAAAAATCTGCTCCGTAATTGTAATGTATCTCTTTGATGCGTTTGACGTCGAAGTGATCAGTAGTCAGAACTACATACATGTACAGTACCATCTTGATCAAGTTCTCCTATAACTGAGCGGATTTATGATCTTCGTACACTTGTCGATCCTAGATTTCATAGAATTATGAGACGGTATGTTGTAGTTTTATGCAACGATGGACATCAGTTTTTTAAAGCCTTTGCTTCAACCATTTGTATTAATTGGCATGTATCAAACGCATCCATATCAACAATCGCACGTGCAATATCGTCTGCCTCTTTCCCCTAGAATTTACGGCTTTTTATAGAATTGATAAAATTATCTAATTTATTTAAACATAATAGTTCAATGAAAACAAATAATTAAGGAAAACAAAACATAAGGGTAGAAGACAACCGAAGTTGAGAAAAGCCAGGTAGGTAGCAGGTGCTTGGTCACGGTAATTACGGTATAAACACTGCCAAAGGCGATAACGGTCATTACAATGCGTAGGAAACCCTAATTACTGTATGTACAAGCGCAATGAACATTTTACGTTTTAAAACCGACATTTTAATGCATTAATAAATAATCTTAGAAATATTTAAAATATATAACTGTAGACATCCCTAGTATTTAGATTATCTTGAATTAGATTGAAAGGAATGTATATAAAACTGTAGTAAAAAAATTTCAGCATCTGCATCAGTACGTCAGAAAAACACACCATGGGTCGCACTGTAACACACAACATGCTGTATAGTGCAAAGTTGTGTTAGCATGTTATGTGACAGCGCAACATTGAGTTTTGTGAAGATGTGTTTGCACAACAGCATGTTTTGTGACAGAGCAATAGCGTTTGTGTGAAATTGTGTTCTTACAACAGCATGTTTTGTAAAATTGTGTTAGTGCGACAGAGTGTGTGCTAGCACAATTGGCATTATTACCATTTGCAAAAATGCAATAGTCATTGTTCGGAAAAACACGCTGTCGCTCTAACACACAACAAGTCATAACACTAACTTGTTTGTACTATTTTGAACCTTTGTACTATCACAACTTTAGAAAACTCTCTGTCGCTCTAACACACAACACCCCGTTGCACTACGTGGTCACACTATCACAAAACACTCCGTCGCACTATCACGAAACACGCAGTCATACTATCAAAAAACACACCGTCGCACTATCATAAAACATGCCATAGCACTATCATAAAACAAGCCGTCGCACGAATACAAAACACTTCGTCACACTATCACTTAACACGCTAATACAGATTTGCTCTTAACAGTGTGACAGTCATGAGTGTGTTGTGTGTTAGCGCAGCGGCATGTTTTTCAGAACACAGTTTTGAGCTTCTGCAAATGGCCCTATCCAGACACCATACATAATATTCTTACTAATGTATCTTGTGAATAGACAATTTTAGATGTTTTATCTATCCAAGTGAGCTTTTCTGATCATATTTTGTTCTGGTGTTCATCTGTCTGTTTGTCTAGCTGGCTGACTGTCTGTCTGTCTATCTGTGAACCTTTCACATTTTTCTTCTCAAGAGTCAATTTTAACCTGCCACATAGTATCCTTAGGCGAAGGGGATTCAAGTTTGTTCAAACAAAAATCCATTCCCTCTTTCAAGGTGAGATACTTAGGAATTAGTGAAATAATAATGCCATCTTTAAAAATCTTCTTCTCGGGAACCACTAGGCCAGGAAAGATGAAATATATTTTCCTCAGGTAGTGTAGATTCAATTTTGTTCAAATCATGCCCCCGGATGTAGGGTGGGGCCAGGCCTAAAATAAAATATTATTTGTTTGCAGTTGCCTACCGACCCACTGAAAATGCACCCGACCCAAACTTTTTTTCAGCCATTTTGTAATATTTTTTTTTTCAAATTTTTCAGGATATTGAAAGTGTTTCATTGTCAATTTTTGTCTTTATCAATCAGTAGTTTATACCAAGAGTGGAGCTTATTCATGTATAGTAGGCCTATGAAAAACTTTATTTTATGTTATCTAACAAAAATCTGAAAACAATCACTATTTCCCCCCCCCCCCTAAATAAAGGTCGTTAATTGATAAGGTAAAAAGAATGCCTACCTACCTACCCAGTCTAAAAATTATAGGCCGGCAACTGCAAATGAAGAATTTTTTAAGCTTGGCCCCACAATGAACGATTAAAATTTCACATAGGAATACATATGAAAATTCTTTGAAACTCATCTTTTCAAGAACAGCAAAGCTGTGATTGGTCATATTAATATGGAAGCATCCTTAGGTATGGTAGATTCAAGTTAGTTCAAATCAATTCATGACCCCTGGGGTTGAGATAGGGCCACAACAGGGGATCAACATTCTACAAAGAAATATATAGGAAAATATCATTAACATTTTTTTTTCAAGAACAGCAAAGCCTTCGTAAGTCATATTTATATGGAAGCATCCTCAGGTAGTGTTGAATCAGGTTTGTTCAAGTCATGACCATTAGGGGTAGGGAGGCCCACAATGGGGGATCAAAATTTTACATAAGAATAATTATAGGAAAAAGTTTTTTTCTCAAGAACAGAAAAGCCATGATTTGTTATATTGATATGGAGGTACCCTCAGGTAGTAAAGAATCAAATTGGTTCAAATGATGGCCCTTGTGGCCAGGATGGGGCCACAATTGGGGATCAAATTTTAGCAAATTTATAGATAGGGATAAAAATCTTCAGCTCAAGAACAGCATACCCATTAGATTGCTATGAAAGCATCATTGGGTAGTTATAAATTCAAGCTCAGTCTTCACAACAATTCTTTTTCAGCACAATCCCTTCGGGCATGTATACTGATCATTTGAACCCAGCCCATTGAAATTTGTGCATGCTCTACTCAAAATTCATTCATATAGCAGATATGATTGTGCAACAAAAACATAAGGATTTTATATTAACTATAAGGACAGTGTTTCTGTTTTTAATTTCTCTCGATCTTAAGTTTAAATTGTTTTCAGAGTTTTAAATCAACCATGGCCTGCCTGTCTGACATTTTCTTATATTTTGTCTTTTTGATCACTTTTGACTCTCATGCTAGTCGTTTGTTGGCAGGTTTAGCTGAACTGAATTTCAGAAATAGGACAACTGCACCTGGCATCAATAAATATTTCACAATTTAGCAAGAAACTTCAAGAAAACAAATAGGTTAAATTAAACACTTTAATGATTACGATGGACTATCATTTGACAGGTCGTACTGAGAATGTAACTTAAGATGAATGTAGACTGGCAATTCATCTTAAGACATTACATAGCAAGTTTACGCGAATAACTGGGGTATGACAGAAGAAATGGCAAGTAAACATCGTGAATCAAAAGAAAATGCCAGCTGGCATATTTACCAGGTCCCCGGCATCGGGCACCCAGGTTATTTCGAAGACTGCAAGCTCCCCCCACCCCTGTTAACTTTTCAATACTGAATTGAGTTTTGCTATTTTTCCTAGCCAGTGTGCTCAGGTGAGCAATGTGGCCCATGGGCCTCTTGTTTTACACCTGCTATATTTAGCTGTTATTTTTTATGTAGCTATTGTAATTTGCTGTTGTTTTCTGTGTAGCTGCTGTATTTAATATCTATTGTATTGAACCACTTATCATAATCACCCTTTTCTAAACATTTATTAGGTCCATGGGATATATGATTTCCTTTCTTTGTCCGCATTGTTGAATTTTGATCTTTGTTCATGTATTATTATTACAAAATATGCATTGATTAACTTGTATATCCTTTAAAATTTGAAACCCAACTAACTTCTTTTGAATCTCGTGAAACACCATGAATCTCTTCCTGCATCTCGTACTGAAGTTTATTGTTCATTTATTTGATTTCAAGGATTTTTTACTCTTTTTTTAAAACCAGTTTATGGTTCATATCCTTTATACTCTTCCTTAGTACACCTTTATTTACATACAATAAAATGTACCCCATATCTGAAAATAATAATTTATGTCACAAGTTTCGATAGCAGTTTGTATAAACAAAGTCGTAGAACAGAACTGTGGTTTTAATATTAGTCAAAAGTGGATTTTGATAGCTGTTACTGACATGTACCAAATCATTACTGAACTGGTCCCTCTATTTGACCTGATGAGAACTGTTATTAAATCACATGTCTGAAATGATTCACAGCATCCTTCGGGTTTATTTTCCGACTTCTTAATCATATGTAATAACAATTCAACATAATGATGTCACTGAAGGTTTGTTTATTTTTTGCCAATAATTAACACTGAGCAGGAAGTTCCTCATTCAATCTAAGATACTGATTTCACTTGAAGGGAAGTCGAGCACATAAATAGTACAAGGAGTGCATGTTTACAAAGTGTGCCATGTTCAGTCTTATTGAGACTGATTATTAACATTGATAAATATCATTAACCTAATTTGGATTGCTTTTCAGATAAATGTGTTCATGAGTGCCATTGTCAGGTTGTAAAATGCAGGATCTTAATTTGAAGTGAAAGTTTTTGACAAAAATGTCAAGTGAACAAGTGGAAACATTAAGGTAAGCAACGAATATTCTTATGATCAAAATGTAATTTGTTTTGAAATTTTAAAGAGAGACACTACAGTCTGGAAAATTAGATGCTTAAAGGTATGAAACAGCACTTGAGATGATTACTGATTCCCATTTCTGCCTTTTTCCTGAAGTAGTACTACTTTCAAAAGAAAAAAAAAATGAAAACAACATCAGTGATAGAGGCACGAAATACTTCATGTCCATTTATTTATGACATTTATGTTTTGGACAGCTGGTTTCATCCTGGTTGTGACCGACACACGGCGGAGAGTTTACTATTACAAAACGGAGTGGATGGGACTTACCTCCTGCGACCCAGTTCTAAACCGGGGGATTACGCACTCTCCGTCAGGTAAACATCAACTACTAAGTTTTAACAATGGAGCATTGGACATTTGGTCTCATTAGACTTTACGTTGGATACTTTGACTTAGATCTAGACTCGCAACTCTAAGCGTGTAAATTAAAATAGTCTTTATATGAATGGCTATGCTTTTGAACTACATACATGTAATACTAAGTTCTATAAACCAGTGATTGTCATCTTTATTTGCTGAATAAAATCTGAAAGACAGGGTAAGTTTCACTTCATGGCCAAGCTCTTACTGGGGCAGATATTTCCTTTTTAGTCCTGTAAATTGAGTTTAGATCAGTATAGTACTCTTTGAAATGACATGTCTATGATCTGTTGATGAGGCAAAGGGGTCAACTTTGAATCTTTAAGTGTTTTTGACGACCCTGAGGGGGGTCACCAGGTGCTCCAGTACATTTAAGTAGACAGTATTTTAAGTCTGTATGTACTAATTGACTGTTTTGTATACTACTAGATGTGACTCATCTGTGAAGCATTACCCATTAACCTGGACGGGGACGAATTATAAATTCGGGCATGGAGAATTTGATAGTGTTCAAGATTTACTACACCACTTTCAGAATAAACCTCTAATTGGCTCCGAGTCAGGTACTTTTTATATCAAACATTATTTTAATAGCAAATTATCTTGAAGTATGTTATCTAGATAGATTATATTTTATATACAATGTATAAAATATGTATGATGATTTACAGATTTGTAAATATAAATAAAATTCAATGATAAAAATGCACATATTAATGAAATGGATGGCCTTGAAAGTTCTCATGATGTTAGACTTGCACATATGTATTATACAATTATGGACTTCAGTGTAGGTCGATGTGTGGTTATAAGGACTCATGGCAATTGATATTGACCGAAGACACAGAAAGTGATAGCGAGCGAGCCTGTGAGGTTGCTATCATTTTCTGTGTCTGAGATCAATATCAATATTCACTCAAAGTGAATGCACTGATACAGTCCAAACTGAATAGACTCAGTTGTCATTATGTCAAAATGGTTAAAACACGCTTCTTATATTATGGCGTCATGTTCTACGTAACTTTGGTGCAACTGAACAGTGTCGTGCGATATCATTTTCCATGGACACGCTTTCGCGTCGGCATCACAAAAGGAGGAATATCACATGATGTTTTTTCAGCAAATAAAAATTACAAAAATAATCTTCTTATATAATATACAAGATTATAGCATTCTAATTTGGAAAAAAAATCTGAATATGGAAAAGATGAGATAAAGGGAAAGTATGTTTTATTTAGTAAGTACGGATGTATGAAACTATACAGTGTATTAGGTGTGATTATTAATTTTCAAGAAGTTCCTAATGTATGGTGCCTTTTATTAATGAAGGTTATTAGAGATGACAAATTTCTTTAAGATGAACTTTTTTGTAGGTCAGCTAACCCTCCTTAGTTTTCCGTACCCTCGGGTAATTGATGAACCTAACATGTATGATACAATTCGAGTCCATGCTGAGTTCAGCACCGCAGACGATTTCTCCAGAGGACCTGAATTCTCAGTGCGTACTTCTGTTTAAATAAGATGTCATCAGATGTAATGCTACTTATACTGAATTATCTTTCAAAATTATTTCACATATTGAAGTTCATCAGTTAAACTTTGTTATCTCAAGATATCTTGAATACCATGGATACTATAAAATCACATACATTTATGTGTATTTATGGGGTCAATTTTTCAAGGTTTGAGGAAAAATGTTGCTTTGTGGGAATATTTGATTTCATGGTTGGAAAATATTTAGTAGACTAGTTATACATATGGAATTTTACATTTGGTGGTGGTCATTAATTTGTGGGTCTCTCCATGCCTCGAAAACAACGAAAATTAAACCCCATGAAACTAAGTGATTTCACAGTATGTCAAATTTAATTGGAAGTCCAAACTACTTTTTCTTGTATTTTAACCTAGGCATTTTGAAAACCCAGATAATTTGGGATAATGAGAGTTATGGTAACTGTACATGTCTTTGTTAGATTGTGATCAGGGATTTGACTTAAAAATTAAATTACATGCATAATCAATGTAAAAGAATGTAACGATCAGAAATGAAAATCAAGAAACATTTATGCCTAACATTAATCCTGTTCTCCATGCATTTCTTTGTAGATTAATTCAAAGGAGGGATTTTTAACAAAACTTGGATCCACATTCAAGGTTATGTTGTTGTTTTTTTTTAATTTACAAAATCAACAGGAGTTGATTAAAAAGATAAGATACCGTATATACTTGCATATAAGTCGGTCCACACATAGGTTGGTTGTATTTTTTAAGCTTATATTAGAGGGATTGACCCTCTAAAAAACAAATCTTTTTATAACCTTTTAAGTCGAGGTGTTTTTGACCACAACTGGACTCCCCAAAAACCAAATTATAAGCGAGTATACATTGTATTTGGTAATTAAACTTTCACACAAACAAAACAAAAGGTATTCTTTTCAATAGATCATTTTGTGATATTTAGTAGTGAACATGAACAGTAACACCTTGGATGTTTATATTTTGTTTGTTTGACTTTTACAGACATGGAGGGGCCACAATAGATATAGATATAAGAAGGGGTTTGTCCTCACCAGTTACTCAAAAATGTGGCCCATGGGCCTCTTGATAATTTATATACAAAAAGTTGATAAAAAAGACAAAACTCTAGTACCATATTTTTCAGGGCATTATGCAAGTCTTTTTATAACTTGAGTGTCGGACAAGAAGTGCCACAAAAAACGGCTCTCAAGTATAAAGTGTAATTAAACTTTCATTAAAACAGAATGTATTCTTTTCAGGTGGTCATTTTGTGATATTAACTGGTAAGAGTGGACATTAATAAATACATGTTACAGTTACATGTGGAATGTACATGTTTATATTTTGATTGTTTGACTTTTACAGACCTGGAGAACAAGATGGTTTGTCCTACAGAAAAATGAGCTCCGATATTACAAAAATAAAACAGACAAAACTCCCATCAGGGCATTAAATCTAGACGAGTGTTCCGAGTGCCAAAGAGATGGCTCTCACAAGGGAAAGTTCAATGTTTTCAGGTAAGTAGTGCTTTGGCATCTGGTTCATCTACCTTGTATAAAAGATGCTAGTTTTCCATGTGTAGTAGGTAGGCTTGCATATTGTTCAAAATCTAAACTCTAACAACTTGTTAAAATTTTGTACATGACCCTGATGAGTCTATATTTTGTAAAGAATGTGTATTTACAAAGTCAAGTATTTTTTTGGTATATGTTTACTTCTTGAGAGCATTTTCAATTTATTAGTATAAACAAGTGTCCATACCTATTGCAGAGTTGTGTTTAAATGGCGGACATTTTACATGTATGCCACCACTGAGCAGGAATGTAACGACTGGATTTCTCTCATTAATTGGAGGCTGGTATGTAATATTGCTCGTCTGTCTGTCTGTGTGATGATTGATGTGGGGTTTTAACACTTGCCTAATTATTAATGACTGTGTGTACATGTTAACTACAGAGTAAGCACATGCATAGTAAAGCTTCGTTCAGAATTACGGCAAAATGGTAGGTGGAGTTCTTTTGCAAGTTTTAATATTTTGGCTTTATCAGAATCTTTGAAATGTACCCAAGTTTGCATAAATACATGTAATCAGGCATGAGATGAGAAGCAACATATAGCTGTGGAATTTTTGAGAATGCGCTGCAGTATATATATTTCAAGTGCCATATGCAAACACATGCAAAAGGATTATACACAGCATTACTTCTCTGCACAGATAGGAAACATTTCTGAATTTAAAAACTGTGGTTTTGGAATAAAGAAGGAGAAGCAACTCATTATTCTCTGAACATACGTAAGGCTTATTATGTATTTACATGTACAATTTACATGTCTACCAGTATGTTCAATTCTCCATGACCCTAACACATGCACAGAATAGCAATGCTTTTCTGCTTCAGAAAGTTTTCATGCACACAAAAACTATATATTAAGCAAGTACATTACAGTGCACAACTTTGAAGAATTACAAATGAACCCAAAAAATGTTGCCTGGGTGGGTGGGTTGTGTCTATCCAAAGCTATATTTATCAGCAATATCAACTGTCATGGTAGCTTATTAGGCAGACCGCTTGGGCAGTAATAAGAAGATCATGGGTATCCCTGGCTGTGAGAAAACAAAGTCAATAAAAAATAGGTAGAAATGTTCCTTGGCCATCCACTTAGCCCTAGGCAATGAAAGTTACAGGTATTTCAGACAAGACTAAAAACAGATGACCCATTTACTGCAGGTGTTGACATGTACCAGTAAGATCACTTACTGATCAATAGCCCCAACTGCAAGTAAAAGTCTAACTTTGAAGCCCTTCACCAGCATACGTGACATCTCATATGCATCTTGCAATCTTGCAATATCTAATAACTTTTTTTGGAGATATAAACCAAGATGAGGATTAAGATCAATGCTACAGGTCAAGGTCGTATTGGATAGTGTACAAAGGTTTTGAATTTGCATCCAATTTATTAAGAAATCAGTTATCAATAATGATTATATTTCACAAACACATACACTGTACTGTATCAACTATCCAGTATGTATATGTATTATTTTTTTTAAATTTGACTTTTAAATACCTTTATTGGTAATTTTTCTAAAAATATTTGATCAGATTTCATTGCATGTATTAGCCTTTATTTACTTTGGTATATTATTGCATGTCTAATATATATATATATATCCAATGAAAACCTTTGTTCCAGGTAATCACCAAAACATATATTAAGACAAGGTTTGCTTTGGATCAGAGCATTTATTTTAACCCTGATACAGACAATTTAATTAGTTAAGGTCACATAAAATGACAAGTTACGTATACCAGTATATAAGTTATGGATGTGGGATTATTTTAAGCACATTTCACTCAAATTTACCACAAAAAAAAATGTGTGTTTAAAATATGACATATTTATTCTTGATGATTATATTATATATTTTCAATGTTGCAAAAATTTATGTTGTTTTTGATATTTACAAGAAATTCTGCTTTGACATTTGAGTACTAGACAGTTAAAAAAATTTCATTTGTCATTTGACTATGTACATGTAATTTGGTCCTACCTTGGTGAATGTTGAGCAGATATTGTTTGATCTAACTCAGTCTCTATTTTTCAGAAATCTGGTCATAAAAGACAATCTTCAGCAGCTGTGTGACCCAGTCTATAAATAGTGGCCTATCAAATCAAAGAACAGCAATAAGAAATGCCCAACAGCAAAGAACACTTGTCATAGAAATAACTACATGTATGTTGTATCCTATCTAATGATGGATGTAAAATCTGCATGCAGGTTTGGACAAGGGGTAAAATTCATAGGATTTAGATAGAGTAAATTTTCAAAAAATCAGTAAGATTAGCACCTTGCCAAAACTTTGTCAAGATATTTTTGTGAAATATTCTTTAAAAGGATAAATTTTTACTTAGTATATGTATATCAAAGAAAGCTAAACAAATACATAATCGGTGTTTTATCACTTTCCTAGAGCTGTATTTAATTTCCAAAGCAAAATGAACAGGTGGTGAAGTATATTTTAAAATTAACCTTTTTTAGCATTTATTGTAAAATACACTTGAGTATATATTTAATATATTAATTTATTTAAGAATACTGAGGGTAAATTTTGTGTTTACAACATTAGAATTGTATGTATGATATTATCTGTAGTTAGTGAATAACATTGTATAATGCTTCAAGTTGTGCTACCCTTACTTTAGAATTGCTGCGTGTGATACACTTACGTGTATGTGCTTTTGTTAATCAAGTGAAAGTGTGCCAGGAGAAAATTTGAGCTCTCCTTGCTAGAAAAAAGGAGCATTGAACCTTGTTGTTTTTAGATCTAGGCTATATTGTGTTAATATTTGTTTGTTTGTATTATATTGTACTTGTAAAGACAAGAAATACCAAATTTTGACAATGTGTAGTGAGTAGCATTTTGAAATTCTTTCATGTTTTTTTTTTAAACTAGGAGTTAGAAATGTTTTGAATTATTTATTGATAATCTTTTATATTTTTTAAATCTCTAAACAGCTTTAAGGGATAGAGCTTTCAGATTACCTGTTACCGTACACACCTTATTAGTGGTATCTGTACTATTTGCAGGTACAGTGTACATGAATGAAGATGGAACATTTCTGCCAGAATCAGTTGAAACCTAATTTTTGATAAAATTTTATTTTCTGACACAATACATTGTAAATGGAAAACTAGAAGTCTGTAATAAGTGACTATCATGATATGTATGTGTGTCTATCTTTGTTGTTATGTAAAACTCTAGCTTTGTTATTTTTTTCTTGCCATCTGTTTTAAAATCTCCAAATGTTACAGTTTTAAATGGAAATGCATAATCATGTATATACATGTATATGAATCATGTAAAAGTAGAAAAAGCTTTAAATTTTTCATTTACTGATCATACTTTGGAAACAAATATTCTAATCAAAAGTACTTTGTATGTTCTGCAAGCCAATTTTATTTGCGAGAAATATCTGCAAGTTTACAGTCTTCTCTTACTTGCAAATATCTCTGATTTCTAACCATTTACAGCAAAACTTGGTTATAAGGAAGTCACAGGGACCTATGAAATTACTTAGCTATATCCGTAATTCGTTATAACCGTATAAGAAATTCACGAAAATTATATAGCTGGGGATCCAAGATGACTTCGCTATATCCGTAAATTTGCAATATCTGTGTTCATACTAAACAAGTTTTGCTGTATTCACATTAGTATTTATGTAAAATAATGCATTTGTCATGAAAATTAATAGTCCTGGATATATTCCAAATTAACAACTTGTAAATAAAAGATATTGCAAATAATGATTGGTTTACAGTGCATATTTCTCATAGCTTGAATATTACTACTTATAGTACTTATTGTACTTATATAGAATTAAGTAATTTTGTAGAAGTATTTATTGAAATACTTTGGAACATCTGATAATTATGACACCGTTACTGTAAAATCCAGTATATTTCATGATTTATGTTGTGCACTTGACTTGTTTGTAATTCACAGCTTTTTTATGAACTTAGGTTGTAGTCATCAATTTTATATTAAGTTGCTTTATTTTTTTGCTTCCTCACAATATACACCTCTGTAAAGTGATTGCACCAAATTCTTTTAGATCTCAAATCTTAAATTTACTTTTATACTTAATTTGAATGCTTGTTTATAATGTATAGACAGTATTATAAGTGTGCTCACAAAGTCAGTTTTTCGATAGAAAATTATTTCTACAAACCAATTCATTGCTTGCTCAATGTTTCCCAGCAATTCCATAAAGGGGGGCTTTATAGACATACATTCACACAGATTTTAAAACTCAAAAATCAGCAATTTATTGACTCTTGACAACTTCCCTACTGGAAGTCAAGAATGATAACTAAAATTGCCAGAAATACTCAAGGAAACGAAAAGGTTCTCATCTTTCTTATCAATCTGAAACTTTTTAAAATGCGATTTTAAACTTTTATCCTCTTGAAATTTTATGTATATTTGTTTGTATTCAGGAACAATAGAGCATACAGAATAATTTAGGATTTACGTTTGCCACTATAAGGTTGCATCTTCAATTTGTTATAGAACATGCAGGTAATGCTACATGTATATATATGCAAATTTTACTGTCATATGTGACAGTGTTATAAATAGCACTGTTAAAATGCAATAAGAAAGCCTTATTTCATAAATATGCTAAATTGTGGTGTTATTACAGCAAAAAGAATTCATCTTTCTTTCTGAGTTATACCCAGTCCTCTGAGTTTTAATTAAACACCTTTACTTCTGTATTTTTATTTCACATGTAACATGCATGTCACTGCAGGTATTCAGCAGATGTGAAATCTTTAGCCTGAACAAGCTTTGTTTTTAAAACACCTAGAACATATGGTGAACATATGTGTTGATTAATATTAGTTGGATGATTAAGAAATAATATTGAGATTTTATTTACCAACAATAATAATAAAGCATATAATAAATTGTAATTTGGAATATTATAACAATGTTATTCTTATATAAATGACTACACCTCATAAATATGCAAATTTTGAATATTATTTCCCTTTTTTTTTTTATACCATATTTGTATAAAATAACATACTTATTGATACCAAATAAATGTTTTTAATAATTCCTATATATAGCTGAACTTTGTTATCCCAGACATGGATATTCCATAAACAATATGTCTGTAAGATTTAACATTTCAAAGCTCTTTTTTCTTGAAGTATTTTATACAGATTATTATTCCTTGTTCTGGATTCAATCAAGTTTGAAATAACCATGTTTGATAGTATACTGTACTAGTAATAAAATTTCCAAGTACTTGCATTTTACTGAAATGTATAAGAATTATGTAATCAAGTATACCTGAGAGTGTATCAATGTTAAAGGATATACAGGCTCAGGATAAGCTGTGAATTATTGTATACCTGTGTATATTTTTGACTTTAGATATTGAAGCCTTTCTTTTCTGCATTACAAGCAGCTGGTGTTCATTCAATCTTGATGTAAACCTGCAATAGTGCCTGACTATTACAGAAATCTCTGTCATTTGTGTTATTATATTTTGTTTCTTTTTGTTTTCAAAAAATTAGGAATAAATTTTTTTTATTTCAATCTTTTTTCTTTGCTTTAGTCATCTGATAAATGAGATTTGAAATTACTGTGTAATCACAAATTTTTGTGAGGGTTTAATTTTCACTGTGTTTGACAAATGAAGAGAGCCACAAAATTTATGTCCACAATGAAATGAAAACTAATCAACAATTCTTCATCCACGAAGTCTTAATTTCCATGAACCCAGAGTTTTTCCTGAAATGGCGGAAATTTGACCCCACAAAAATACTGTAAATGTATTATATTTGGTATGTACGATATGGCAGAAATTAAGGTTTCAGCATGTTAGTGCAGATTTGATTTAGCGCTAATTGAATGTGCTAGATATACTAGTAAATATATGATGTACAAAACATTTAGCTACAAGACATTAAGTGCTGTACATGATTTAACGGATCTGCTTTCCACCAAAATCACTAACTAGAATACACTACTAATGTAATATGTTTACAGTATGTGATTTAACAGAAGTTTGGACAAAATTGACCTAGCGGAATCAAAGTAAGCTTTTATATCTTGTTTTGATCAAACAGAATAGGTTTCGCAAAATGCACTGTCAAAGTCAACAAAAAAGAGATGAAACATATATATATAATTTACATTCTTCATACAAAAAAAAGAGGATGAACTGGTTTGTCAGAGCCAAAGAGACAGATATCAAACATACTCAAGACTTAGATTTTTTCAATGATTTATTTTCTAAACCTGTGGAAGATTTCAAATATGGATGGATTAAAATTCCTTTGCACATACTCATAAAAATCAGAATGCATCATCAGAAAGATATTGAACATAAAAAGGACTTTTCAATGACTAAAAATGTGGAAGATTTCAATATGAACGGATTTAGGTTTTCTTTGCATCTACTCATAAAAATCAGAGCACATTTTTTAGTCCTGAAATATGTGTAAATGTTTAACTGTTGTATAATAAGGAGATGGTCAATGTTTAAAGTAATGCAGCCGCATCATTCATTCTACAATCTCGTAGAGCTTGCGCCAGAACTGACGATGTGGCCTGACTTCCTTCGCGGTTCTTCCAGGACTTTAACATAGCGTACACCTGAAAATAAATTGAAACAATCAATACTCAATGAATTCAAATGTTTAAAAAGTTTAAATTCAAAATGTGGACAAGTTTTAAATTCTGAGTAAGTTGAGAAAAATAATAAATGATGGATGCATTAATACTAGTATCCTTGATGATAAAAGAGAGAATATTGCTAATCACATGGAATAAAATTTATCCTAAGATAGACTTATTTGAACCACATGGCTTTAAAACAAGAGTTTTAAGACTAGCTGTTAGCAGGAAAGGTTTCCACCTCAGGCTTGTAACTGGTACATACAATAACAAAATGAGCTGTTTCCAACCAAAAGCATAATTATATGTTTCATAAATTTTTAATAAGCTAAATATTACTAAAGGCAAACTCATACATGTATATGCAACATCAGTATCATGACTTTTCTCTACTATAAATACTTCCTAAAATGGTACATATAAATAAAACAAGAGATGTTTGTAAAACACTTATGGCCCCCCTCCCCCCAATTGGAATTTTTCTAAGTCCAAAAGGGCATAACTCTGTCAAACATGTGCGATCGTACCCAAAACAGAACCTGATCTAGATATTCATCTGATAAATCTGTATACTAAATTTCATTTCAGTATGTGCAACCTCTGCAAAGAAAATGAACAGAAACTGCAAATAAATGGAATTTTTCTAAGTCCAAGGGGCATAATTCTGTCAAAAATGGTGCGATTGTACCCAAAACAAAACCTGACCTAGACATTCATCTGATAAATCTGTATACTAAATTTCATTTCAGTATGTGCAATGGTTGTGAAGAAAATGAACAGAAACTAAGTTGATTGACAGACCAACCGATAAACAGCAGCAAAGCAATAAGCCCTCCCTTCTTCGAAGGGGGGCATAATAAAAACATGGGTAACAAGATGTCTGAGCCAATGCTCACCTATTATACCCCCGCTCTGATGTGAATTCTTAAGTTCAGTTATGGTCAGACACAGGGATAAAAGGGAAGTTGACATCGGATTCACACAAGAATGAATCCTCCCATAAGGCATATACGTAAACAAATATTATGCTAAAATTTCAAGCATCTGCAATAAGAAGTTGCAGAGAAAACTGTGACAAAAATTTGTTACTGACAGCTAGACAGACAGATGGACGAACGGACATGAGCTGACACGAAGAAACACAAGGGTATATATATAACAATATACCCTCCTCTCCTTCGGAGCAGGGGTATAATTAAACTGATTACATTAACCCCTTACTTTAATGAAATTTCAATGGAGCATTATTTAGAGTCAATTGTCGCACATGAAACAAATGTTCTAGTAGTGTACACCTCTCTAAATACAACATTTATGCAAGTTTGGTCTTTGAATTTCAGTTACTCAGGAATCGAGTTATTCCAAAACCTATCTATTTTTTATAATCATTCGGAACCTGCAAGATTTTATGCTAGTAAGTTGGCTAGTGTACATTCATCCTTAGATACATCATCTTTGCAATTTTGGTCAGCAAAGGGATTTTCTAGTGACCTGGGAATAATCTGAAGAAAATCTGGTATTTTCATTCCTGCAACACTCATCTGAAAAAGTTTGTTGGATTCAGACTATCATCAGCAACAGTCAACAGTCTGGCAGAATGCATCTCTAAATGCATCATCTATGCAAGTTAGCTTAAAACAGGGCTTATAGGTTCATTAGATTGCACTGGTCAATTATTTGAAAAGGAATTGTGGTCCAAAAAACTTGAGATGGTGGACAAAAGAAAGAGAAAAACCAGGCACCAGAGTCCAACTGAATTATCGTGCCCTGATTCACTAAAAAGGCTGACCATTTTATATTCATTTGAAACAAGAAATTAAGGTACTTTGCAAAGAATAGTGTTTAATGAACATAATAAATACTTGAAGATTCCTGGCAGAACCTAACTGTTTTGGAGTGCATGGTGCATGCATGTGTATACATTTTATAACCCAGATTCTCACCAGTCTAGCCTAATGCTTCTAAATAATTTAAGTTTATTTAATAGATGCATAAGAAGGAAAGAACCAAGATATATAAAAGATAAATAGTCTGAGTTCTGCTAGATCTAACAACTAAACACATATCTTAACCTTGTCACTTTGATTCTGAAAAAAAAAACACAACACTTTGTTTTATGTAACACAAACAGAATTTGAGGAACTGCATGCAGTTCTGTAATGATGCACACTGAAGTGGTAGGAATATTATTGTATTTTTCTAATATTCACTTTTACATACAAACACACTTCATTTCTTTTACTAATTAATAATGTAGCACCTGCCAATCACTTAAAAATATTCATTAATAGTCTGATCAGTACCTTTAGTATTTTAATTTAGTATGTGTTTAAAACAAAAATTTTTGTTTAAAAATTAAAAAACAAATTTCTTAGTATTGATTATTTTTTTAATTCCTTCCTAGTAGCTTTAATATTTAATAATAAGCTCTAATGTTTAACCAGTGCACCATTTAGGTGTACATGCTTGCAAGCCAGCCAAAATAGATAACCCCATACTAACTAGAAAAAGGTGACTTAGATGTTGATACTTTATTGTTAACCATATTGTAAATCAAGTAGGTATTATAGCACCTCTTTATCTTTAACCAGTGATAAATATTAAGCCATTGTATTTGTTTTTGATGCTCTGCATTCAGAATGGGCAGAGAAAAAAATAATATTAATAAATCTTTCTCTCCAATACATGTAATATGTTAATATATTATTAAGACATTAGTGGCCACAGATAAATTAAAAACCAATTATCACTGATATTAAATTCTCATTGACCTTTTCACTTGGATCCTAAAAATTGATATACATGAAGCATTCATTTTATTTTATCATATTTATATATCCAAGCAATGTTACACTCACTCTTGCTATTTTCATAATTATAATGAGTCATAATTTTGAGTTTTAATAAAAATAGTTGGCTTTATAAAATATTTCTAAGTTTAATTTTTTATAATTTTTTTTTATTATTTGCATTTGATCTCACCTGCTGGCGTTGGTCATTACTCCTGGATTGGAACTCTTCAATGTCTTCAAATTCAAAGTCCAGTTTGTTGGCTAATCTGACCCAGTCCTTGTTGTGGATCTTCACTGCTATTTTCTGAAGCACCTTGTCATCTGGAATGGGGCCTCCCATATTACTCCTGGGGGCGGGGGTGGGGCCTGTACTGTTGAACTATTGTAAATGAAAAAAATAATGAAAACCATCATTCTGTCCTATGAATAAAACTACTATACAATTGTCTCGATTTCTTACTCACCCCCACCCCCACCCAACTTTCCATTCAGCAAATGGGGTGGGGAAGGAAACAATCTCTTAAAATCATACTGTCAAATAATCTGAAATCCTTTGATTGAAGAACACATCCATGTTAAATCATGTACATATGTACTCTTTTTTATGACCCATGATAAAGCTAGAATCGATTCACTTGGTTTTAAAGAATAATTAAATGCAATCAATAAGTGAAATTTAATTAATCCTTATTTTTTAATTCATGGCATATTAACTCAATACTTATAGGAGTTTGTCATGGTGACCTCTTAAAACTACAAGCAAGGTACAAGTTACTTATGGATAAAAATTTAATTGCTTCAATTTTTTATTTATATTTCCCCAAGTCGATAATGACAAGTTCAAATAAAAAAAATTGTAAAGAGGTCACATTACTAGTTCTTGTCTGCAGTTCTTAACAAAGTATACAAATTATAAAACTTCTGTGAAACAAGTTCACATTCATAATCATTAAGTACACTTTCTAGTAAATATATATCATTTGGTTGATCCAGTGTGTACATGTTTATGGGCACTAAATATTATAACAAATTTATATAAACATTTGTACAGTCAAATGTGCATTGCCACTGCATTCTTTGGAAAAAAAGTTTAAAATAAAGTGCAAAAAGGCAAAATATTGTCTATGTTGTGTGCATTGAATAAAAATGTTTTGTGCAGATCCTAGTATAAACAACTTTGTCAAATAAATTTTATTTGAAATCTTACAAAAATTATTTTTAAGTAGGATTTAAAAAGGAATATAAGTTTTACTGACCAAATGGAAAAGCATTAAAAAATAGAAAGAAAAAAGTGTAACATTCAAAAGACATGTAGAAGTAATATATGCTTTTAAGGAATATATTTATATGTTTACTTGACTATTTCAACAAGCTGAAAGTCGTATTTGTTGAAGATTTAAATGCCTAATTTTTTCATGTAATTAAATTCCATTTATAAAATGTTGTGATATGTAAATGCATGAAGCAAGTGACTAATGTAAATTCAATGTGTACTATTATAATACCATTCTATTCTGAGTTTGTCTGCCAGATTGCATCTGTAAAATTAAAGTTATATTGTACAGTTCTTGAGAAATCCCTGTTGTGGAATCCACCAGTTTTAACCTTATAACAAATACTGTTATATTTACCAGTATTTATAGATAATTAGAAGTCTGACATTTAGATATTTGTATAAACCCGGGTCATGCTGATCAAGTTTGTATTCTGTTGACATTAAACCACTATCTTGATACATCTATTGCACCTGACTTGAATCTCCTGTCAAATGACCTCATTTTTACATTTCAGGTAAGAAAACAGGTACTAGTAAAAACAAAAAAAAAACAAAAAAAACAAGAGGCCCATGGTCCACATTGCTTACCTGAGTAACATGGCCCTTTCATCTTCATCAGCACAATTTTTTTTTTTACACAAAACTTTGATCACATACATGTATATAATTATGGCATAACCTTACTACCAGGGGTTAAATTTGAATAAAACTGAATCTTACACTATTTGCAGATGCTTCCATGTAAATATGATCAATCAAAGTTTCACTGTTCCTGACTAATAAAAGACATCAACTAATTATATTCCTTTGAAAAACTTTCATCTCCCACAACCAAGAGTACGTCATGATTTGAACAAATTTTAATCTACACTACCCAGGATGATTCCATATAAATATAATTGATCATAGCTTTGCTATACTTGAAAGGATTTTTTTGAAATCCTTTTGTATATTTTTGATCCCCCATTGTGGCCCAAAACTACTCCTGGGGGGTCAGGAATTGATGAACACTAAACTTACACTACCTGATTGAGGATTCCTTTGTATAAGTACATGTATTTCTAATTATAGCTTTGCTGTTCTTGAGATAAAGGTTTTAAAGATTTTCCCTAAATATGTATTCCTAATTATTTAACTTCAATCCTATGTTGTGATTACCCTATCCCTTAGGGATCATAATTTGAACAAATTCAAATATAGAGATGTTATGGATCTTTTGTATGTCATATCTTTTCTGAACCAGTGGTTCTTCTTGAGAAGAACTTTTTAAAAAGATGTCACCAAATTTTATCGAATTAATCTTTCCTTGAAAAAGGGTAATAATTATGGCTTTTCTTGTGAACAAATCTTAAATCCTCTTTATCCAAGGAGGCTTCTTGGCAAAATTGGTTGATATTGACCAAATGGTTTTGTAGAAGAAGTCGAGAGTGTGAAAAGTTTACAGACAACACATGACACATGATAGCTGATGACAGACAGACAAACGTCAGACGCTTTTTGATCAGAATAGCTTGCTTAAGCCTACAACTCAGGTAAGCTATAATATTGTGCTGACTCTTCAAAGATAATTTGATTTTTTTTCTTACCTCTGGAAGTTTGCTGTGAAGTTCTTGTCTCATTTGTGAGGGCAAAAGTTCAAAGTTCAAGGCCTCTTCCAGAAGAGGTTGTGGAATTTTTAGACAGCCTCTAACAAAATTCTCCTCATTTATTGTCCCTGACAAGATAAAATGAAATATGGAGATAAAAATAAAAATTTACTATAATCAAGCTCAGAGATCCACAAAACAAGGAAGAGTAAGCAGCCCCTTTCAACTGGTAACACTCACCATACACTCCTTCACATTTCAGTTCATGATAATATTAATATTTATGTTCCATTAATAATTAATTTAAATTTATATATGATAAGCAAAGATTAAATTCAAAGCTGTATGATATGAATGCTACCTTTGTTCCCTGGGTCCATGAATTGGTAGAGTGTATTAACAACTCGATCTATATTCTGTCAAAAAGTTAAATTAATTAATCACAGGAAACTAAAACAAAATAAAAAGGGCCAATAACAAACTACTATTGAGGATATTCAAAATAAAGTTAATGCATTAATTTGGTGTTCATACTAAGAAGAAAGTATATGGTAGGAAGTTATATATATTTAGCAAGATGTACTATCCCAAACTTCGTAAAAATTCTTTTAAAAACCTTGATATATGTACTAGACATTTCTTGATTTTGCCCATGATTCCACTCTCTGTAGTCTTACCCCTTTATCCTCTGGCTGGACATACACTCTCTCTATAATCTTTCTAAAAATGTCCTTTGGTAAATTATTCCCATTGTTTAACATCCGGAAAACACCTAGAATGAAGAATAATATATTGTAATGCATTTAAATATCTTTGATTGTCAAATATTTCCATATTATGTTTTTTTTTTCTATCAACAAAAATACCACAGGTAAAAAGTAAAAATACTTCAACTGCTTGTAATCTGAAGTTCTCTTATGCTATTAAGATTTCAAACCCATGCTGTGTGATGCACCTTTAAGCTTGTCTTCTGTGGTGGAAGTCTCACACCATTTTAATCCTCTGAGGAAATTTTCAAATGAAATTGTCTTTGTCCTGGGATTTACAAACTTTTTCATTATCTGAAATTGCAATTACATGTACATGAAATTAGTACTTGAACAAAAACTTGTGAAAATTAGAGACAATATTAAATATGTACGTACTATAATGAACTTATTGGAATCATCAAATACATTTGCATGAAATATGTCTATATGTTATGAAAAAAAATGAACAGTGTTTTAGGTGTTTGAGGAATAACATACATTTAAACATGTGTTGACATTATAAATTTGCATAATGCCATGTTTCCATGTGATATTGTCTTTCCATGCTAAAAAAGCAAATAAAACAACCAAAAGTATCTTGAAAGAAAGAAGTCACCAATGTTTAATATGTATAACTTATTTATCTTCACTAGGATTGTTTGCATATTATTTTGCATTAGATCTCTTACATTTCTTGAGAAGGCATCTTGATTGATTGTATGTTGAGCTAAAGCTTCTTCAGTGAGTTCTCCTTTATCTGTACATCCCAGCTGTTTAAATCGTAGCCAAAGTCTCTCCACCTCTGCAATACTCACTAACATATCAATAATAACATCTTAGCAATAATCATCAGTATAAAAACAGATACAAAACATAAATACAAAACAAGTTGTTAAAAAGATTCATTGATAATTCTAGGGCCAATTAATACATATTTAGGAAAATAAAAATGTTAAAGATGGAATTTCATGCATATGTCTGATTAAATTTATGATACTGATCAATGTTTGTAAGGGGAAAAATTGCCTTCATCATTTCAATGACATTAAAAGATACACATTATTTAATTTCAAATGGGGCAATTAACTTTGAAAAATTCCTCAATTTTAATACTTTTCAATATTTTAAAATTTCTTTCTTCTGGGTATCAACCATCCTAGCAATGCCGGGGTCCTGAGTCAACACGTTGCCGCTAGACCCCTGGCATATTTCATCCAATATCTGTGGGCTGACTGTAGCAACATCTTTCAGAAAAATTGCAAAACTTGATTGTTTTTCTTATCTCTAAACCAATCACATTAAGCCATTCTATTATAAACAACTTGTAAAATGTGCATTGGAGGTGTCAGCTGAATCCTTATCAGACTATTTTTGAAAGCTCTATATAATTTGATTGGTGCTTCTCAATGAGAGAAGCAAGCCCACAGATATTGAATGAAATATACCAGAGGTCTAACAGCAACATGTTGACTCAGGACCCTTGGCTTGCGAAGATGGGTATCAACCATCCTTGCAAATTATGCCAGCTAGGGGTCTGGAGTCAACACATTGCTGCTGGATCCCTGGCAAATTTCAGTTGATATTTTAGGTCTTGCTTCTGTCACTGAGAAGCACCAATCAAAATTAAAGCTTTCAAAAATAGTTCAATAATGTTAAAAGAAAGGATTCACTTGAAACCTCAAATACACATTGTTTATCGTAAAATGGCTTAATGTGATTGCTTGAGTTAGAGATAAGAAAAACAATCAAGATTTGTAATTTTTCTATAAGATGTCACTCCAATCACAATCTAATTAAAATTAGATGTTAGATCCACTTGCATACTCGCTACACTAACATCTAACAACATTCCATAGAGGGTCACGACAGAGGTCAAATTCGGAACAACTCTAGACATATTCCTTCACTAATATTCAATGTTTTTGCAGGCGACGATTTGATTGGTTGATAGACTTTGACCTCTGACGTGACCCTCTATAAGATGTTGTTAGATGTTAGTGTAGCGAGTACACGAGCGGATCTAACATCTAATTTTAATTAGATTGCTACAATCAGCTCACATAAAATTGAATGAACCTCCAGGGGTCCAATGTTAATGTGTTGACTCAGGGCCTCTGGTATTATGAGGATGGGTATCAACTTTTTATGTACAAATATGTGATAAATTGATTTACACAGTGAAAATCAACTAGCATATTATTTGACGCACATTCAGAGGCAACAGCGTGGATAGTTATCCAGTTTGGTTTCTTGGGATCGGTGTGACGGGTACATGCCTTAGACTCTGGAACCAGGATCTGACTAGTGAAGGCACCCATATTTACTGCATAAGAGGAAATAATAATACAGCCATTCAAAAGAAAATTGCACATAAGTATATACATATAGATCAAAAGAAATATATAAATTAAAATAAATTATCATTATCATACAAAAGCTGTTTGATCACGATCTTGCAAATACACTTGTAAACAGACCTAATTAAAAGTTTTTCAGCCTTTTTTTTGTTTACATGTTGATACGGCAAACCGGAAATGAAAAGAATAAACTAAAACACTGTTTGACGACAAATATTCCGGAAAAATATTTCTTTGGAAAATGCAATACGGAAGTTCCGGTTCTTAGTTCAAGGGACTAACTTGTTACACAGTTTGACCTTTGTAAGTACTAATATAACATTTTTTACACATTCCATGAATTAGAAATCAATTAACAATCATTATAGCCAATTTTTCCATGAACATTTTACATCAAATCTGCTTTGCAGCTTCAAATCGATGACGAAAAGTGCGAACGTGACAGAAACGTATGAGAATATGGCGTATTTTGTCAGTGTTTGCAAATGTCATGTTTAATAAACCGATTTCAACAAAATTTATCTGCCTTAAAATGTGATAAATGTGTTGTTGTAAGTGTTTTTTACAATGACTATCGTTATCCTTCTTCTATTTTTTTAATGAAATGTGCAATCTTTGTTTCCCTCAACAAAAAAATGATAATATTTACGACACGTGACTGAGAAACACATGTCGGTCATGGTCATGATCTTGATCAATTGACAGACTACTTCAAGTTGAAAGGCGTTTGCATTTTATTATTATTTTGTTAAATTCAAGTATTTTCTGTGTAAGAGGTTTATTTACTGCTCTGTTATATAAATGAACTACTTGTACTTTAGTAAATAGAATGCATTTAGGCAAGACGTAATTATTTTGCCAATTTTATTGTTCCCAGGGACAGGTATATTTCTAGTTAGGTCAGTGTTGTTACATCATGTGATAGATTAGTATGATTTTAGATCAAGGCTACTAATCTTTAATCCATTGACACAAAAAGTTCTGATGGAGATACATTCTTGTGACCTGTACCTGTTCTAAATATTAGGCCTAGATAAGATTTGTACCTTTCATCTGTTTGTGTCCCAATACACAACTGCGTAGTTTATGGTGCAGTATATGAAACAGACACATAGGTTTTCCTGCTCTTCAAAACAAGTTCTTTAGAGGTGCACAGATTTTGAATAATTTTTTTTTGTTTTTGTTCCTAAAGTGATACTGTGAAATGGAAGATCAGGCAAGTCAGATAGAAAATGCAATCAAAGAAATTGACAAAGTCAAGAGAAAGCTTCAGCAAAATGTCAGTGAGGTGAGTTAATAGAAGTTGAAATTTTAATTAAGAAAAGATAATATTTATTTAATATTTTATTTTTATTTAAAGTCTGGTACATCAACAAAGAACATAGAGTTTGTTATATTATTGTTGTTATTTTTTTAATGCATAAAATTTTAAAATATATAAAGAAGTGGGGATTTAAAAGAGTATCCTTTTTAGCTCACCTGAGCCGAAGGCTCAAGTGAGCTTTTCTGATCACATTTTGTACAGCGTCCGTCTAGCTGTCTCTCCGTCTGTCTGTCTGTAAACTTTTCACATTTTCGACTTCTTCTCAAGAACCGCTGGGCCAATTTCAACCAAACTTGCTGCAAAACATCCTTGGGTGAAGGGGATTCAAGTTTGTTCAAATGAAGGGCCGCACCCTCATTCAAGGGGAGATAATTGGGAATTAATGAAAATTTGGTGGTATGTTTTAAAAATCTTCTTCTCAAGAACCACTGTACCAGGAAAGATGAAACTTATGGGGAAATATCCTCAGGTAGTGTAGATTAAAGTTTATTTAAATCCTGACCCCCGGGGGGTAGGGCGGGGCCATAATGGCCGACCAAATTTTTACATAGAAATATATAGGAAAATCCTTTAAAAATCTTCTTCTCAAGAATAACAAAGCCAGAATTGATCATATTTATATGGAAGCATCCTCAGGTAGTGTAGGTTCAAGTTTGTTCAAATCATGACCCCTGGGGGTAGGGCGGGGCCACAATGGCCGACCAAAGTTTTACATAGAAATATATGGAGGAAAATTCTTTAAAAATCTTCTTCTCAAGAATAGCAAAGCCATAATTGATCATATTTATATGGAAGCATCCTCAGGTAGTGTAGATACAAGTTTGTTCAAATCATGACTCCCGGGGGTAGGGCAGGGCCACAATGGCCGACCAAAGTTTTACATAGAAATATATAGGAAAATTCTTTAAAAATCTTCTTCTCAAGAATAACAAAGCCATAATTGATCATATTTATATGGAAGCATCCTCAGGTAGTGTAGATTCAAGTTAGTTCAAGTCATGACCCCGGGGGTAGTCCGGGGCCACAATGGCCAACCAAAGTTTACATAGACATATATAGGAAAATTCTTTAAAATTCATATTCTCAAGAATAGCAAAGCCATGATTGGTCATGGGACTACTTTTGGATTTAAACTTTTTAATAATAAACCAATTTCTACTTTTTCCTAACCATAATGCTCAGGTGAGCGATGTGGCCCATGGGCCTCTTGTTAGCTCACCTGAGCTTTTCTGATCTCCCTTTGTCCATGACCAATGACTCCATCTAGCTGTCTGTCTACTTGTAAACTTTTCATATGCTTAACTTCTTCCAATTTCGCAATGAACCAGTACTAAAATCATGGTCCCAGGGGTGAAAGGTGGAACAAAGATAAGGGATGGAAGTTTTATATTAAAATATCAAGTAAATATCTTCATAAATCTCAAGAACTGGAACAGAAAAGGTGAATTTAAGTCAGAGACCCTTAGTTAGAGTTTGCAAAAATAGGATCAAAGTATGCATAATGCCTGCAGACAGGAAAAGGATGTCCTTTTTAATAACTGCACGGCCATGTAGGTCATATTGATATTAAAATTCTTCCATAGTGTGTATTCAGAGACCCCTTATAGTTAGGGTGGTCATAATATGGAGTCACAATTTTTCAAGGGAATATAAATATCTGAAGTACAACAGAACTAGAGTAACTCAGGTGAGCATTGTGGCCTATGGTCCTCTTGTTTACAAAATTAATTTGTTATGATAAAGATTTAACTTAGCTAACTCACTTAAATATATGTGTAATTACAGTATATTGTATGTTTATTCACCAATCAAGGGCCCTTAGGTGGCACAAACACGTACATTTTTTCAGTATGATTTTTAAAGTATTGTATATTGTAATTTCATATCTGATGAAAGATGTACAATACCACAAGTAAGATAATCATGAAAAATTGTTTTGGTGGGATCAAGAAGATTTGTATTAAAAAACTTTTTGATGCCCAGGTTAAACTACAAGTCCAGACAGCTGTGAGTCGTAATCTGGAAGCGTTTAGGAACCGGGAGGTGTGGCTCCTTAACCAGGTGGAGTTGTTACAGAGTGCTAAGGAGGAGGTGCTCAGTAACCAGCAGGCAAAGCTACACAAATTACTAGGGGTCATCCAGACCCAGAAGGGGGGACTATCCAAAGCAAGGTAATATGCAAAATACACAATGGAGGCAGTTACATTGGTTCAAATTGTTCTGGGGGAACGTATTATAAAAAGTAGAATTTTTTTAATATGTGGGTTAAATAGAAGATTATTTAAGAAGGACATGTTACATATGGTGATATGCTAGAGTATTCAAAATTTATATTGTTAGTTTGCTTGTATATTTGAGGATTTCAAAAATACGAAGGAAAAAATAATGTTTTTTAAAAGTCTGCATCCCAGATGCATGTTTCAAGCACAAATAATTGTTGAGCGTCAGTTTCTTTTATTTATTGTAACATCTGTGATTTCCTACAGAATTGATCCCACTGACCTGAAGCCTGAGGAATCGCCGTACTTGACCTTCCGCTGTGATGCCGGCTCACTCAGGGAGAACATCAACAGCTTTGGTAAGATAGACGCCAGCGGTCTGCCCCACTCCGTATTTGTTCCTGCGGGGAATCCGTCGACCAGTCTGCCGAAACATGTGGAGGAATATGAGGACCCTGATCACCACATCTTGTATAAAACCATAGAGGAGGTCCACCAATCCAAGACGTCCAACTCTTGTGTAAGTTTCCTTGGAGAGGGAGTGGTTGGATGGGACGGGGTAATTTTCATGTATAGCATGTCTCAATTCAGTGCTCGAGCTGTGATTCACCATTGTCGCCAATTGCGAATTTTTTTCAAAAGTGGCGAAAAGAAATTCATAAGTGGCGAAAATAATTTTTTTTATATGTACCATGTACACAATTTGTGTAGTCCTGGTTAGCTCCTTTGTTTATTCAATGTATACAGATTAGTCCCTGTGTTTATTTAATGCAGTAGAGGTGTGAAAACTGTAACCTACATGTAGGAAATCATGTCTCGCTTGAACGAACACAGCTGACTAGGTAGCTTGCCTGGAGCAATAAAGGGTTACTAAATTGCTTGAAATAATATAATTTGGATGAAACAAGGGGGGATAAAGTGTTATTAGGAGAGGAAGTTAGTAAATAAAAGATATTTATCAACAAAATCTGGATCTAAGTAGATCGTTTTTTTTTTAAACGGAAAATAGGGAAACATGACGAAAATTATAAAGAATGGTTTCAAATTTTACCTAATAAAAATTGAAAAATATGCACATTATACCATAAACTGACAAAGAGTGAAAAAGAAATTGATTTGGAAACAGAATTATCTTAGTAAATTATACTGAATTACTTACAATTACATGAGCTTGCATATTAAACCCTGCAGTCTCCAAGTTGTTAAAATAAAGTCAAGTTTTAAACCTAATTTTCATTACTTTTTAAGTATGCTTCTTTTCTCTTTTTTCTTAATTAATGAAATGATGAAAAATTCCATTTTTAAAAAATGTCACATATATTTACTAGGTCTGTAGCCCCCCCCCCCCCTTCCCAGGCAAAAAAAAAATTTAAACAAGAGGACATTTACTGTCAAGAGTTGGCTGATATCAATTCAATATCAAATTAATTGTGTAATTCCAACATTAGTTTTTATTTTTTAATGGATACTACCATAAGCTTTAAACATTACAATTTTAAATCAATGTCTGTGATAAAGATAATTAAAAAAAAATGAATAACATAAAGTGCATTGTATTGTCGAGAAATCAGATGCAAGTATGCCTTTCCTTTTGTCGCCAAAAGTGGCGAAAAATATTTTCGGTCCAGTGGGAGCCCTGTCTCAATTGCATATAAAAAGGGGCATGGATATGTGCTGAATGTAATATAGTGTACATGGTGAATGATGAAGTTTGTAAGAATGTTTGTATTATGAATATCAGGTACATGTAGCATATCCTTATGAATTTTTTGTTGAAGGATCGTTTAAGGAAAACTGATGCTGTCATAAATACCATGAAAACACATTTTCAGAAAATTTTGTGGTATTCATTTATAGAAATACTTGTTATTTAAAGAGAATGTAGAATTCTTAGAAAATGACCAACTTTCAAAATTTTCAGTTTTAACTTGTTACACTAAACACATTAAGTATCTGCTCAATTGTCAAGTAACTGTTACTTTTTATAGCACATGACAAATTTAAGTGTCTCTAAGTAAGTAGCTACAAGTGAGGTTGTTAACTAGGTATACATAAAATTTAAGATGGTCCTTGTTTTGTGTTGTAGATTGATGTAAAAATTCCCAAGCTTTCTCCTAATGCTGAGGACTGGCTGGCCAAGCCTTCCACCATTTCAAAGATGTCTGTGTCTGCCCCAAAATTCTCCATGCCAAATTTAAGCAACAAGAAGAATGATTGGTTGTATCAGTCAGGTGACAGCAAGGGTCAGGGGTCAGTGTGCTCCTTCACTGATAGTGTCTCCTCCACTATGTCAGATAAGGCTGTGTCCTTGACCTCCAGTCACAGTGTACCTTTGTCCTTGACCTCCAGTCACAGTGTGCCCTCCTTCTCCTCTCATGGGACTTTTTCCAGCACCAAGAGCTGGCTGAAGCAGATTAAACAGGACTTTGAGGATGAGGATGATTTTGAGATTGTGGAAGGAGGGGGATCAACTGGTAGGTGTTTTTAGATAAAGGCTAGTAACCCTCTCTCCCCAATCCCACCTCACCCCATTCCCCATTTACTACCACAAAAAATCAGTATGTTGACAGAAAAATGGCTTTAAAATTTTTGTTAGCCCAAAATATCTGAGAATCATTTATCAAATTCAGTTATATAGGATGACTGAATTAAAGAAAAATATTAATCCTGGAAATATATCAGTGGCAGTATATTAATTGATACATTAGTACATGTACTATCCCTTACCTATTTCAGGTACTCCAGAAATGGACACTGAGTTCCAGCATGATTTTGTGATTTCCCCCTCCCACTCTGTGCCAGACTTGCTACAGTGGAAGTACAAGCCCTCCTCCACGGTGTGGCTGAAGACTAGCCCCTCCCCCAGCTCTATCCACAGCCAGAACTCAACTCAAAACAAGACCCACAATGTATTCCAAACATACTTTGCTACAGTGTCCCAGGACACCAAACACTGGCTTGCCAAGAAGGTAAAACAATTTTTTTTTTTTTAATATCAAATTTAAGATTTTTTCCCCAGGATATACATGTAATAAAATCCAAGTTTTTGGTTGAACAAATTCATGTGCTGAGTTTTTTGCTCTCTTTTGGAAATATTTTCTGTTTTGAAAAAGAATATTTGTATTAAAAATTTAATCGATTTTCATTTATATGATGTGATGTTTTATTCTGCAGTCAGATAGCTGTTGTAGCCAGACCTGTCAGTCCAAGAAAGCCATGGACATAGAGAATTTGGGGTCATGTATAGGCCATGAAAATCCCAAGGCTAGTGACTTCACCTGGCTTTGTGCAGCTGAAGAAAAGTGTCATGGTATAAAAAATTTTAATAAAATAACTCATAACATATGGCCTTTTAAAAGAAATATAAATCTGGAATACATGAAAATAGCCAGTTTTAATATTTATATTAATTTTACAGATGTGAAGGAATGTTCTTCAGATCCCAGCTGTCTGGATAAATTCCTTCAAAAGAATCCATCCTGTAAACTCACCTTCACCACTCCCGCGGGCATCTCCAACAAAGTACGCAAAACCTACACTGGCCCAATAGATATTAATGCATGGTTACTGAAATCAGGACATGCCAAGTCTTCTAGCAGTAACACTCCCAATCCATTCAGCAAGTACCTTAGTAACACCAGTGAGCAGCTCTCTGATTGGCTGAAACCGATGACATCAACCAATAAAAAGGCTACTTCAGAGGTCGTGTCATTCGACCATATTGACACCAATCTAATGGCATGGGTTAAAGCTCCTGATAGTAAGATGGTAGAGAAGGCTACTGCAGAGGGCCAGATAACTGCCATACCAACTATTGCACCAGCAGAGAACCAGGGTTGGCTGATGAAGAAACCTGTTACAAGTACCTGGCTTAGTGGGTCCAGCACCAGCAAAAGTAAAAGTGAAAGTAGCAGCCTGTTTCAGAACTTTCAAGACAATAATTCAAAGTGGTTGCTTAAGTGATGAACCTATCATTTTTTCATTTGAACAGCCGAATTCTTCTTTGTGTTTAATAAGTTAAAAATAGTTTAAGATATATTTACTGTTGTATATGTAATTTTGGCAATTTTTTCCATTATTTTAATGAAAAGGCGGAGGGGTTGTTTAATGCATTCGCAAGTTAAATTGCAGCAACTAGAAATACTTTTAACAATTGGTGTTGCCAATAAATGAATGAACTGAGTTTGATTTCCCTGTAAATCAAAAGCAGAAATGATTGCCAATGATTCCATATGCATCAGGTGTTTATATTTTTTTTGGGTCAAAATATATGAATTTATAAATATTTAGTATATATTATGTATGTATTGAAACTATAAAGATAAATATACATGTATCCTTGTATTTTATAACTTGTACTAGTGCCCTGAAATTTTGGTTTTGAAACCTGCATGATTTTACTGGTGTATCTATGAGAATTGTATCTTTGATATTGAAGTACAAATTCAATTACAGTCTTATTCTAAAATGGGATTGTCATGCTAATATAGCGTCTTTCTATAACTAGGTTATCTTTCTTGAAAATCGGAACTCTTTTATGCAAGAATTTTTTCTATTTGTACTTCCGGTAGGTAAAAAAAAAGAGATCGTGTTTGTAAACAAGTAATAAATTCTGTCATTTGTGATCCTGGTGATGGGGAAATTATACTGCTGTGCCACGAACTGTCACAATTATAGTGGCAAAAATATTAAGGATAGAAAAGTGACATTACATCGATTCCCAGTTAATAAAAAACATAAAATGATATGGAAAAACCGTGTCAGCCGCAAGAATTGGAAGCCAACAAGTTGCTCTAGACTATGTTCCGAGCATTTCATCTCGCTGTCTGGTCCGACGAAGGAGCATCCATTACCATCTATTTTTCATCACAAAACATTTAAGACTACAAACGTATGTATTTTTTTTTATTTATCAGAATTGGGTAAATAAAATCAAGGACGTTTTTACCAGTTTCAAGTCAAGGTGTAATGACTCGATTATAGCATGAAAAGCAGCGTACCATGATGTATAGTGATACAATGAGGTTGTATCATGATAGGCCTATGTATTGTGATATTAATTTTATGTTCCCTGTGGTATTTAGTAGAAACTGAATTTCTCTGTTTATTATTTATATCAGATTATTTATATCAGATTATTAAGTGGAAGGGTGGGGATTGTAGATTTTTTTCATAAACTTGATAAAGTTTACAGTATATATTTATGTATCATTGAATTGAATAAGTTCGGAATACAGTAAATAAATATCAGAAGTAAATAAAGATGATCAGTTTTATTAGGTTAAAGTAAAAGAACTTCATTATTTGCCTAATGCGTCATTTATCGTGATACACAGGTGTACAATTTTCTACATGTACAATGATACGGTGCAATGTTTCGTGTATCACCACAAACTGGTATATAATTTTATTGTTACACCCGTAGTATAGACATATTTCCTTGAGGCTGAGAAAAAATCATTATAACTAATTAGTTTATTGAATGATGTACACCATATTTGTATGGATACTTATACTACACATATAAGACCTTTATTTTCAGTTTGACCAAACAACGGAGGTTTTAAAAGAAATAAATGACAATCAACAAGAAAATACAGTGAGATCAGATTCAGAGACCTCAGAGTCCGATTCTGCTGAAAACCCTAGTTTTACAGTTGATGCAAACAAATCTGTATTGGACACATCTGTATTAATGCACGATTACTGTGGATTGATAGAAACATCAACCTTATCTCATCAGAAAAATCAACTGACACAAACTGATGTTCAACAGAATGACAGCGTTTGTATTCAGACTATTGAAAGTTACCTTGATACATGTGGGAGTAATATGGTCTCTTCAAAAAAATTATGTGACAAAAGTACTGGTACAACCTTACCGTTTTTAACAGTTGAAGACTTGAAACAGGATATTTCATTTTATACTGGTTTGCCAAACAAGGAGACTTTTTATCTATTATTCCAACATCTGTCAGACTTTCATAAGTGTACAGTTCCTGATACTGGAGGAAGACCCAAAAAAATGAGAGATATTGATGAGTTTTTAATGGTATTAATGCGTTTAAGGTTAGGACTCTTAATTCAAGATTTGGCTAAAAGATTTAATATATCTGTGTCAACCTGCAGTAAAATTTTTAATGAATGGTTAGATTTGATGTATGAGCATCTAGACTTTTTAGTAGCTTGGCCAGAACGGAATGTTATCAAAGAAAACATGCCTGACAGTTTTAAACGAAGGTACCCAAATTGTCGTGTTATTATTGACTGCACTGAGATCTATACAGAAACACCTCAGTCACTCTCCAACAAAGGAAGGATGTATTCAGACTACAAGTCACACATGACATGGAAAGTGCTCATTGGAATTAGCCCTAGTGGAGTGATTACACATGTCTCCGATTTATGGACTGGAAGTACATCTGACAAACAAATCACAAAGTTGTCAAAATTAATTGAAAAATGTGAACCTGGGGATGCAATAATGGGTGACAAAGGGTTCCTCATTGCTGACCTATGCACTCCAAATGGAATTCATCTCATTATCCCCCCTTTAAAGAAACATGGTAGGCTAACTAAATCTGAAGTGGAAAAAACCAGAAGGATTGCAAATTTAAGAATCCATGTGGAACGAGCAATGGAGCGAATAAAAAACTTCAAAATTATTCAAGGTGTGGTTCCAATATCACTTCATGACAAAGTGTCCAAAATAGTGTTTGTTGTGTGTGCTCTCTGTAATCTCATGCCCCCACTTATTCAGTCATAGTATAATCTACTATGTAAATCATAAAAATAATGTATCTCTCAGAATAACTATAAGTATTAAGTACTTCATTGTGCAACATACTGCATATGTAGGGGAAAACTTGTTATTAAGTAGTTATATCATTTAATAAATAGCAAAAATCTACTTATGTTTTACATTATTTTTATTCGGTATGTCGATCATGAGCAAGTAAGAAATCAAGTGTTCCAAAGATCATAGCAATGATGAGCCAGAATGACTTCATTCATTTGCACTGCCATTTCTTATGCCAGAAAATCTTAAAATTCTACATTTTAAAAGATTCAGAAATATATCAATTCAGTTGACTGTTATTAAAGTAACTGTATGAATCAAGTTTTTAAAATAAATGCATCATGTCCTTGTATCATTGCAATGATCTTTGGTCTTGTGTAAAATTTATTACTATATTATCATGATTATGAGGTACTGTAATGTATGTACCTACATTTAGAAAATTAACATAAAGTACTCTGTTATAAATTTATTGATCAGATACTCACAAGTATTACAAAATATGTTGATTATGATACCAAAGTACATGTACACATACCCTAAATGCACAGTTAAGTTATGTAATACCTGGTCATGCTTATTAGGCCATAATAAATAAATTGCTAGATTCTCATCCGAATTTATTTAAAAATGAAGCCGTGAGCAGCTTTTACTTTAATTTTTTTTCAGCAGATTTTTTATTGACCAGGTCAATCGGTGTAATTTTATCTACAGTACCCGAATAAAAGTCATAGTAAAGGTTCAATTATCTCTTACTTCACATCATCACAAATCTTTTTCAACCAATGACCTTTGTTTAAAATATTATATGCATGTACCATATTACAGGAATTACCATCTTTTCAGCTGTCAAAATCATGCAGACTTTTGCAGGATTTAAAACAAAAGTACAATGGTAGATAAATACTGATCCCCAGAGAATTAAGACAGAGAAAAACAGAAATTAAAAAAAATCGAGGCGGAGGTAAAAAATCTGGGCGGGCAGGAATGAGAATCTAGGAATATTTTTATTATGGCCTTAGAGACTTTTAGTGACATGTCAGTACTCATCAAGATTTTAATTTAAGACCTCTTTTAACTCTGTCTGAAAAAAGTTCAGGTAATACTGCAGAACAATAAAAAGAATTAAGTTTCGGAAGAATTTCATTTTCCCAAAGATCCTCATCATATAAAATTTTTTCAAATTCAAGACCTTTATTGGTCCATACAATAAAGTGGCACCACTTTCTTTCACTGATGGCCATTACCCCTTGAACCTGATAATAATATGCATGATTTCTCTTCAACTGTAAATTTCCATTTTCATCTAAGATACAAAAAAAATTGTTACTTAAGGCCGCTTCTTTGGGATGCACATCTTTAAAGCTGTACGGACATTTTACTTCAATAACACCATGGTAAGGCTTGCAGTGAGGACAGTACACTAGTCCATCGGGGCTGGCACCTAAATGAGGTAGCGATTCTTTGACAACTAGTCCAGTCTCCTGGAATGTAAGTGGTGGATGTGTCTCCCTAACCTTGAGCAGGTAGCAGTCAATGGCAACTTTTTCATGCTCTCTCCCCCATTCCATTGCTTTGTTTGAAAAAGATGGACAGTATCCAAGAATATACTTAAGTAAATTGTCAGGTAAAGTCTCTGGTTTTCTCCGTACAATTTTACCAAAGTCTGAGGCAGTTAGTCTCCCATGCCTAGCTTCTCTCCATGTTGGGTTTATGTGTTGACCTTTGGTCATTTTATTAATAATTTCACACTCTTTTGCTGACACTTGAAGTGAACCAAAATACTGCATAAATTGTTGCTTACATTCATCCGAAAAAAGATCAACATTGTCCATGTAAGAGAAGGTTATATGGTGAAGTTCAGGTATTGATTTTGCAGTGGGGGGTAATGTTTCAGTACATGTAGTTGAAAAGTTTTTTAGCCAACCTGCCATTGGATTTATTTTCATAAGATTTTCTTTAAAAACTTGAACAGATGGTAAGGTTAGGTCTGGATTTTTCTCACTGACACTATATGAACATGATTTGTTTTTCCCCTTCGTCTTTGTTTTGCTGAAATCCATGTCCTGCGCTTTTTTTGGTGAAAGATTTCTGCTACGTGGTTTGATCCACTCGCATGCTTTTGAAGTTGGGGCAATTTTACCAGTGTGTTTTTTTACTGTTATGTCAACAATTCCATACAACAATGCTGCGATATGGTTGCAAGCACCCCCCTCTCTAGAAGTGAAAAAAAAAAAGAAATTATTAATATATTTTTTTTATATTTATAATCATTAAAACAACAAAGTGCTAGTACAGGTAGTATGTTGAATTTTATAACTGATGCAAAATGCACGGAAAAAGACACCTGGTACCAGTACTTTTTTCAAACAGTTCTCATTTAATGTACAAAGACATTTCATGCACATGTAGGCCTACCTGTACTGAACATATTTTTACCTGTCAGGCATACTTTGATATTATGCATTAGAAAATGTTACAAAGAGCAGTTTAAAAAAAATCAAAGGGCTAGGTTTGGTTTTTCAGTATATCACAGTGGCTCTAGCTTATTACATTAATATCAAGAATTTACATGTAATTTTCATGATTATATTATAAAACTTACTTACCCTGCAACACAGTTACATTCTGCTGTGTGGACTCTACCAGTGACTTTAGACAAGCACACCCAAGACCTGTACGCAGGTTTTTTTACTTTTGTCTTTGGTTGGAATTGATGGTAAGCAGTCACATTTTATAATACAATGTGAAGAGTCTTTTGTAACTAGATTAATTTCAATATTCTGTACATGACCTTCATCATAAAATATTTTGGCTTTAAGTTGTCGCCTTGCAGATTGTTGGTTTAAATCAAAGGTACGTTTACTTAATACCAGGTAATTGTAAATTTCGTTTTCCGTAATGTCTGGAAAATACTCGCAGTTAGTCACCCAGCCTTCCGTTAGCTTTGACGGTACTGGTATTCCTTCCCCAAGCGGTGTGATTATTTTGTCCTGTGGCTGTGCATGCTGATCTCCCGAATCGACGTCGTCGTGGTCTACATCTAATCCTAAGTCCCGTGCACCTTTAGCTCTCTGTATAAGTTCAGGTTTGTTTCCAAAAGTTGGTTGTTTACACTTTTTAAGAAAATCAATTAGTTGTCTCTTTGTCATTTTATCAAAGGCCTCCATTTTTAAACGATTTAGCAACGTCCTTGGCCCCTACATCAGCAACGTTTACCTACCGGAAGTTATAAACCTCCAATACTAGAGAGTGCCTATGGGGAGGTAACTAGGTTATCGAAAGAGGCTATAACTGTGATATTTTCTTGTGATTATTTTACATGTATGTAAACAACTTATTTGTTGTCTTTAAGATCACTGATTGATAATGGTATGGTTGTATGCATAAAAACATGGGATACAATAAATGCTTTAAAATTTAGGGAAATGCGTCATTTTAAGATCAAATCATAAAAACAGAAGATTAAGACAGAGTATGTAACGGCTCTGTCTATTAACTGGGTTGGTTATGGCTGAGATCAAATATATTTACAAGCTGTGTTACTTTGAACTCGATGAGACCAAGATAAAACTCCTAAACATATATTAGGATTATTGTGATTGAAAAGTGGCGGATACCAAAAACTTACTTAGCCATATTCTGTTTTCAAGATAAAGTACACCTGATAATAAATTTTTATCATTTAAGGAAATGCAAAACTGATGCTAAAGATTTAGTATCTGCTAAATACCCATGCCTTAAATTTATAAATGAAAGTACGCTCTTGTAGCTGCATCCTTTGTTTCTGCATTCTATTATCAATTTGGATTCTCTTTCCTTTTCATATACTGGTATCTCTCTTGGGCTGAATTTTGATGTTCTGCAGTTCAAAGGGATTTTCTCAAATATCCTTCTCAATGATTTGTTTTTCAAGTGATTCTTTACTTGATTCAATCATTTTCCTCATTTAGGTATAATACCTATGAGCCAAAACCTGAGGAGCTTTACTTTTCAGAAGTTCTTGTCTGTCATCCTTAGATAAGATAAACCTTTCACAATTCTTTATCTCCTAAACTATTGGGCAAATTTAAATTAAACTTGGCACAAATTTTCCTTGGGTAAACTTGGTCCATGCTTCTAACGGGAATACAATTTAAAAAAAAAAAGGCAAAAATAGAGTCATTTAAAAATATTCCTCTGAAGAGCCACCAAACAAGGAATGCTTCTAGACATAATGTAAATTATTTATTCAAATCATTGCTCCCATGTTAGGGCGAGACCTTCGTTGGGAATCAAGTTTTGATGTTAGGATATATTAGTATAGGACAAAATCTGCTCAAGATCAAGAGGACCGTGATTAGGGTGGGCAACATCCGGGATAAAAAAAAATCATTAGGGTCTCATTCGTAAAACTGAAATGATTTCGGTTGAAAAACAAGCTTCTAGAGGCAGAACTAGAAGAATGTTCAACAATTTCTGTGAATGAGTATTACAGATGCAGTACTGAGTAGTCCGTTTCCGCTTTAGACGTAAGTCCGTCTGTTACTTGTGTTGTACCCTCTTATCCGCAACTCCTCTATTACCACTAGAAATATATAGGAAAATTCTTTAAAAATCTTCTTTTTAAGAATAGCAAAGCCATGGTTGATCATATTTATATGGAAGTATCTTCAGGTAATGTAGATTCAAGTTTGTTTAAATTAGTGTTATGACCCCTTGGGGTAGGGCTAGGCCGGGTGTTGCTAAAACGCGGAACGGAAAACGGAACGGAACGGAAAACGGAAAATTTTGGTCAAACAAATAACACAGATTCGATATAAATCAGATAAAAGAGCAATATTCTTGTTGTAAAAATCATTTTATGATAAAAATTTATTGTAAACTATTATATATTCATGCGTCATACACAACTTCCGTGGAAAAAATGGTACTGAAAGAAATTCGACCCCCCCCCCCCCACACACACACACACACGAAATAGGATTTTCGTGTTTGGGCAAAGGACATATCCTCCTTTAATTTTTTGGCTTGTCAAATTTGTTGTATGTTGGAAACATTTTTACTGACCCCCCCTCCCCCCTTCTTTCAATTTGTTTCCAATGTCAATGTTTGTAAAGACAAAAATAACTATTTATGATAATCAGATTATGCACGCAGTGTCGAATTCGCGAATCAATGAAAGGGGGTGGCAGTTTCGGGTCTGTGTAGGGGCCCACAGTCACATTAAAAATTGATTTATTAAACCTTATGTATATTTTTGACACAAAAAGTTTAAATATATAGAAAATGTCTCTATATTGAATAAAATTTTAACAACCAGTGTGTATAAGAGATATTTATTCAAGCTTGCCGTAAGGGTTTGCCCAAAACGTATTATCTTAATGATTTTTTTTTTTTACATTTTATTTCTCTTGCATGGTTCATTTAGATATCAAATATTTGATTCCCCAGTCATAACCTTTTTACTACGGAAATGTTCGTTCAAGTTGACATCCTCATACTTTTTGTGAATGTAATTAATATAGTAAGTTAGTTTTAAAAAATAGTACTGAAAGATGTTGGAATTGGAACTTATTTATCCCCCTTCCCGAATCAAACAATTGTTTTCTGTTTGTGTTTTATCCCCCCCACCCCCCCGGAATCAAACAATTGCTTCTTTTTGTGTTTTTGCTTGTCAAAATATACTTTTCAAGTTCGTTTATCCCCCCTTTTCAAATTCGATTAGGTGACTGCTATAATAGTGGGGGATTGAATATGTACACAATATATCGTTTATGATAAATTTTGTGTATTTTAAGTGATTTAATCCAAAATTATATATTCCGTTTTCCGTTCCGTTCCGCTTTCCGTTCCGTTTTCCGTTCCGCGTTTTAGCAACACCCGGGCTAGGCCACAATTTAGTCGATCCAAGTTTTGTAAAGAAATATATAGGAAAAATCTTTAAAAATCTTCTTCTCAAGAATAACAAAGCGATGGTTAGTCATATTTATATGGAAGCATCTTCAGGAAGTGTAGATTCAAGTTTGTTCAAATCATGACCCCTGGGGATAGGGCGGGGCCACAATGGCGGGTCAAAGTTTTACTTAAAGATATATAGGAAAAATGCTTTAAAAATCTTCTACTCAAGAACAGCAAAAGCCATGATTGGTCATATTTATCCGGAACATCCTCAGGTAGTGTAGATTTAAGTTTGTTCAAATCATGACCCCCGGGAATAGGGCGGGGCTACCATGACCGATCAAAGTTTTACAAAGAAAATCCAGTCAATAGACAGTTTCCGTTAGCAATAATGATGATAAAACTTCAATGCGTACACCAGCAGGACATCACTGTCAAACTCCGGAATAGAGTCCATACATTTCTTTAGATAAAAATCATAAACTGCACTTCATTTGAGTGTTTAAGTTTGAAAACTAAGTAAAAGTAGACAATTATATGTACTGGTTCACGTCATCGCTTGTTTAAGCAAAAAATAAAAAAATATAAGTAAAACTTCCTTATGCTATTAAAAGGTCTGAAGTGTCCTCTTCACTCTTCAGTTTGATATGAGAGTACGGTCCTGTCAATATATCAGCGCTAAATATAATTATGTTGAACAACAACCCCCCCTCCCCCCGAATTTAGAGCTGCAAAACTGTCGAATCGAAACAACTTTTTAAAGTTGATATCATCTTATTTTCTATTCTTTTTTATTTTCTGTTTAAAAAAGAATAAGGGGGTACGCAAAGATAAGGTTAATAACATGTATTGTTAATTAGTTATATTACTCATGTAGATACATGTAAACATGTACGTATAACCAAAAGTTGACACCCATACAAAATAGTTGAAAGGTCGGTGCATGGACATACTATTATATATTTCTTCAATTGGTTAATTTCATCGCTATTGACATTAGCGTCGGAAGCAAATTGAAGGGGAGGGGGGGCTAAGTGGAAGAAAAAAAATTCAAACTTACCGACTTCATTCAGTAAAAATTCAAACTTAACAAGAGGCCCAGGGGCCACAGCGCTCACCTGAGCACATTGGCTAGGAAAAAGCACATACCAGATCAGAACTGAAAGTTTACTGGGGGGGGGGGGCTTGAATTTTAACCCCCCAAGGGGTTCATGATTTGAACAAACTAGAATCTACACTACCTGAAGATGTTTCCATATTAATATCACTAATCATAGCTTTGAAGTACTTGAGAAGAAGATTTTAAAAGGTTTCACTATAAATCCATAAGTAAAACTTGGGTCGGCCATTTTGGCTCCACCCATTTCATGATTTGAACAAACATACACAATCTGACAATGACCCTAGTTTCATCTCTCCTGGTGGTCTTGAGAAGAAGATAAAGATTTGCCATTTTGGCCCCAACACACTTGAATATACACAATCTGACAATGATTCCATGTGAGTTTCATCTCTCCTGGCCCAGTGGTTCTAAAGAAGAAGATTTTTCCTATATCTTCCTTTGTAAACTTGGGTCGGCCATTTTGGCCCCACCCTAGCCCCGGGGGTCATGATTTGAACAAACAATATACACAATCTGACAATGATTCCACATGAGTTTCATCTCTCCTGGCCCAGTGGTTCTTGAGAAGAAGATTTTTAAAGATTTTTCCTATATCTTCCTATGTAAAACTTGGGTCGGCCATTTTGGCCCCTACCTAGCCCCGGGGGTCATGATTTGAACAAACTTGAATCAACACTACCTGAGGATGATTCCACATGAGTTTCATCTCTCCTGGCCCAG